TTAACCAGGTAATTAGGTATATAGAAGAGATCCTCATTGTTAAGAATGACCAGACAGGTTTCCATCTTAAAATTTAAATTGTTTGGTCACGATGACGAACGCGAGAGAGAAAGCTACAAACACGGTCGAGAATAATAGTACAAATTATTACATCTATCGAATATTGGAAGCTATAGTTTAGTTTGTGTCGTTTTGGTCGATGCTATGGAACATGTTTTTATGTGATGTTTCAAAGTCCAAAATCTGTCCCTTCAATTCCTCTATTGACAAATTTTCTTTTGCTGGCAAATTATCTAGGTATTCAAGAAGGTGTTCGAGTATAGGTTCTACTGCATAATCAAACCAAAACATACCCCGATCAAAATCGAAATCATAAGCATGGTTCACGTTTGTTAGGTGTTCTTTATTCGACGCATCTGTGTTATCGGTTTCTTTGTATTTTGCCCTGTACTCTTCGATGCGCACCTTTTGGTTGTGGTTTTCACGTTCTATAATTTTTCGAAGTTTGGTCCCTTTGCACAAATTACTGCTGAAGTCTACCAACTTTGGGTAATTGTAAATGTTCACGATTGTGTTTATGGTAAAGTTATTTAACATCACTTCGCCAAAATCTCTCTTCTCAGGAGTCATGAAAGCAATGTCTCTCATGGGTTCTCTTGTCTCATCATGCTGGGGTTCCACGGAATTTATAAAGCTCTTTCCAGGCTCAAGTACTGTATCCGCCGACAACACGTGTGAAATTATTTGTTGCCTTGTGTTGAAAAACTTTATCACACGCAATAGCTTAGAAGTACAATTTGACAAGAAATTGTATTGTGCTTCATCAGGAACCTCATTCCTCGAAAAATTGAATAGATGGTAGTCAAAGTCAACTTGTGGATATAATGTATCCCATGTATCTGTCAAGAAAGCACTTCGTATTAAAGGGAACACGTTCGCTAAAGCCTTGGCTATAGCAATGTAAAATAGATAAAACGTTCGCTTAAGAGGCGACATCTCTCTCCCGATAGAGCGCGCATGACTTGGTATTAATCTGAGCCATCGATTTATGAGCTCGTAGAACAACGAAGGCGAAAAATACCGAATACCAAGTGAGTCTTTGTCGTTGCTATTCTTCTCTCTGTAAAATTGATCGATGTAAATGAAGCGGGGATGTAGATCTTCGAGTAAATATTCCAAAAACTTTTCCGTGTCAAGAAGGTATTTTAATATATACCCATTAGCGGCACTAGTCAAGTTGAGGTTGTAATTAACAAATTTCTTAAACATTACAAAGTTTTCGTGTATGTTGAAAATGACATTTATCTTATAGTCTGGAATGACGGCACATGATGTATGATTTCTCACCGCATTGGTGATGAACCTCAACCTCGGATCTAGGTCGCCAAAGTGTTGGCAGTTGTTTAAGCAATTCCATAGAAGTGACGCCGAGCCACCGTAGAATAAAGTCGTGGCTTTCGCACTAGCACGCTTTTGGAGAAGCAGCGACCAACCGGCGTACCACGATCCTATCGTCGTGATTTGCACATCAACCTCAGTGACAGCTGTTCTCAAGTTTCTTATGATACGTCCAAAATAAGCGTACGATTTCTTTGTCAAAATCCTCTGAATCTCTGGAGTAAAACAAGAGACACTGCTACTCGATTTCACCGAGTTATCGCACACTTTCAAAATGACACATAGACCTCTGTCCACAAGGAATGAAAAAAAGGCATGGTGCACAACGAATGCCTCTCCAAGTGTAATTGTCCATAAATCCTCATTATTCTTCCTCGTCCAATCCGGTTCATGCAACAGTAATGTGTATTGGCTTGGATCAGGTAGAAATTGGCTTACCTTTCTGGTGAACAACAGTCTGATATTATCCGGATGTTTCAACACTTTAAAGGAGGCATTAGATACTTGGCCATTTGGCAATGGCTCACCCGTCACCGGTTTACTTTCTACTGCTAAATCGGAAACCATTTCCTTTGCAGTTTGGGAAGAAGTGGTATCGTTATGTTGGGCATTTATTGGTTGATATTTCTCACAGTTCTCCACCGACTGGGTGTCTGAGCCTGCTAGTAGGTCGAAATTGACGGCATCGGGGTCTGCCAACTGGCGTAGTAGGTTCATTTGACTCATTTGTGCTAAATCGACATTGACATGGTTTTCTGTGTACTCGGCCGGCACCAAAACGTCTGTATGAAGCTGGGAGAGCTTCCTTATAGAGTCGGTAAACACCGCCAAGTTAAAATCCTCGTTCCCAAGCGGTAGTTTATTGAAGTAGTCATAATCACTGTCCACGACATATTCAAAAATATTTGGCGGGGTAATTGAACTAACAGGCTGGTTGGCAATAAAAGTGGGGAAGTAGCTCGAAAACAACTGGTCGACATTATTGGGCGAATCCGAATATGGTGACGAATCTAATGACATGTTCTGGTCTGCAAATGGCGGGGTTATTACAAAGTTGGTGCCATTTACAAGCTTTGCTGAATTTGGATTCAATAGTGACTCCAGGTTATGGTAAGCATTTGAAAATCCTCCTGGCAAAGAACCAGCCTCCAAGGTATGGGCAAGCTCTATTTTATTCAGTCCGTTGCTGGCAAACATCGCAGCTCCTACAGGGTTTCTAAAGTGCAGATTTAGTGCATCATGTGGACGAGGTAACTGTTGGAACGGTCGATGACGGTCGACGCTTGCCCCTGGAGGGAGTTGACGGGTATTATTGCTATCCCCATGCTTGAATTCATTTTCTGGGGCATCTATTATATGCGCGTCTAAAGTTTTACCCCTTCTTTGATTTCCGTCGTCGGGTTGGTGTTTGTCTTGGTTCTTTTTCCTTAATTTCTCCAACTTCTCTTCACTGTAGTCAAGGTATCCGCAATGGTAATTCTTTTTGATACAGTTGTGACATGCAGGTAGCTCCTCTGAGCATTTTATCCTCTTTTGTTTACAATTTGGGCACCCTAGAAGTTCAAGTCAGTAATTGTCAATAAACCTTTAAACCCCAACAACGCTTGAAGCAGATGTATTCTTTTGTCATAAGTAGGATCAATCGATGCTTCCAGTCAGATTTGAAAATGTGCACCAGATTACTCCCAGTATTACTAATATGACACTACCACGACGATATTTGCTACTGTTGGGGATTTGAACTAATGAAAACATACCATCCCGCGAGTTTTTATGTGTTCTTCTGCTCTTCCTTTCTTTTCCACGCAAGTGAGGCGTATTCACGTCAGGCTTTAGGTGTCGGTGGTGGTGGTGGTGTTGTTGTTGTTGCGACATTTCGTTGACTATGGCCACTTCATTCGATATTAGTGTCTGCTGGGATGTAAATCGTTGGTAGAGGCATAAATTCCATATTGTGCAAAACTCGCAAAAAAAATAAAAATAGAACTAAATTTAGCAAAGATGAAATTTTGATAAACTTCGCACGTGATCCACTAGAGTCATCTGTGGAGTAGCGAAACGGAGCTCTTTAATAAAGTTCTTGTCTGTCCTTGATTTTATAGAACGATGTTTGGATCCCATCCTTTTGTATAGCCACTGTTGGTATCAAATATTAGTCTAAGTTATAATCAATGCGGGGGTGTAAATAGATTTGTTTGACAATTGTTACATTACACAAACACTAAGACACGTTGATCAGATTCAAATTCTTTAAGAACAGTTAACAGATTGACAAAATCAATGTTTGGTTGCTTACAGTTATATAGTGATGGCACAACTGCTCCAAAGTTACAATTTAGAGTGGCGATTTTACCGGCTTGGATCTGGAAGAATCGCAGAAAAGGAAAGGAGGAAATAAAAGTCATTGGTGGGGAAAAAGTCATGTGCTTTAAAAAGAAAAAAATAAAACTGTTTAGTTTGTCAGTTTGTGGCATTGCTCCTCCTACAACAGTTGGCGTTCGGTGCTTTGTTAAAATAAACTCATGGCTTAGACTTAATAGAACAAAAAAGCTAACGGTTATTAAATTAAAAACGAAACTGTAAAACTAATACATAAACAAGGAAATGGGAGAAGAAGAGAAGGGAGGGAAGAATGTACATAAACAGCTTCATTTCCCTCCCTCTCTCTCTCTCTCTCTCTCTCTCTCTCTCTCTCTCTCCGTTCAGATTGAACGGAAACCGGAACAAATAAAGTGGTACACCATCTATACTCTGATGGCTTCTTCATAAGTTGGTGGTGGACCAGTGAAGATGATTTTTCCTTTGTCATCGAACGTTGCATTCTCATCTGTCACATCAACACCTTTCTTCAAAGCTTTGTTCTTTTCAATCTCTGACAATCCCATTGGGTCTCTAGCTATCCAAATGTGAGGCTCTTCATTAGTCACTGCAGGGTCGTCGTAAGCATGTCTTACAAACTCTGGGTTGTATTCGACATAGTTAAAGAACGAACTAGGCATGATATTTCTAATCATATCAAAGGTCTGTGATTTAGGAGCAAAGAAAATCTTCAACCACGATACTCCTTTGCCTGGAGCGCCAAGAGCACCTCCAGCAACACCCTTAGCTGCATTTCCTACACCTGCAAGACCCTTTTCGTGATCATCATCATCAGAAGCTTGTTCCTTAAATGGTCCTCCTTCAGCTGCAGTATTCGAACTTGGAGCTCGGCCACCGTGTGGTTCTGTTGCATAGCTCTTTTCATTATCAGCATGGCCAACTCTTGTATCAACAGCAGAGGAGTCTGATCCACGATGGTCAAATGGCACCTTGGCGTCAACCAAGGACGAGTCACCATCAATACCGTTATTAACAGCTGCACCTGCACCTGCACCAGTTCCAGCAACTGAAGCTGCTCCGGGGTTTCTGTAGGGCAACACTTGATCATGAACCTCACCGCCAACAACTCCAAGCTGGTTACCACCCTCCCAATAGTTTTGTCCTTCAGTTTGTATCTCCTTGTATCCTTGGTCGTACATTGGGTAAGCATAGGTGGTATCTCCAGCAGCGTACTTGATTGCCGAAATAGGAACTGCATCAACAACGGACATAAACTTTCTCTTCATCCAGAATCTAGCAATGATTGTAACCACTATAATGACGGCTTCCAATGCAACACAAGCCCAATTCTTTGTAAACACAAAGATAGCAGTGATCCAAAGTTGGGCCAAAAAGAGACCAGTAAACAACTGAAACATCGACTTGACATAATTCTTTCCTCTGGCATCAACTGAACTTGGCCTCATAACATACACCATTGTATAAATGTATGCAAAGTAAAACAAAGCAAAAGCAATTGCTGTGAATCCCAATATCAATGGAGCAATAACCGAGTACGCAAGAGCAATCACCGTTAACAATTGGAAACCAGGGTACAATGTTGAGAAATCAGGCTGACCCAACGTATTCCATCTAGTCCATTTGGCTCTTGGAGTACTGTCCAAGAGTCTTCCCAAAATATGCGACAATATCAATGCAACAATTTGCAACAATACACCAGAACTAATTGTCAACCCTTGTACACAGAGGTACGAAAAGTAAAAGTTAACTGAAGGTGGGAATCTTTGCGACAACTTTTGGAGAGCCTCAGCGGGTTTCTTGACAATTTCTTGAGCTACTGATGCAGCTGATGAACCCAAAGCCACTGCCAAAAACACATTGACAACTTGGAAAGCAAAATACCATGACTGACAGTATTCATTAACCTGCTGAACTGTTAAACGTCCAGACCTTTTGCCCATGTATTTGATAACGGGTGGGACCAATGACATCAAAATCGACAATGCTACAGAAGGAAGCAAACCAGTAATGACACCCAAAATAACTTTAGGCATATTGTTGATAAATCTTAAAAAGTGTACCTTTTCAGTTAAAAAGTTGATATTTGAAATGGCACCAACAACGGCAACAGGGATACACCAGAAAATGATCATAAGTGTCAAAAAAGTGTTGGCAAGAATAGCTTGAATCCTTCGTTTTGTTGGTGTTAATTGAAGATTGGGCCAGATAACATCATCTGGGGCAATACCAGTGACTCTCTTGGTTCCTTTGAAATCCTTATTGTAAGGGATAGCTTGATAGGCTTTTTGCAACTCAAGTTGAGAAGGGAATTCGATAAACACAGCTGGTAATTGGGTATTTGTAGCATATTCCGATTGTTTCTTACCAACAGTCTTGTTCAATTCACCCAATCTTTCAGCTCCATAATTCAAAGTGTCAACCTTTTTACCAATCAAAAACTTTAACTTATGGGTTGGTCTCTTTTTACCATCTTTCAAGTATTTATCAAGATCATCTTCTGGTTCCGGGACTGGTTTCAGTTTCTTGATGCACTTGTTCTTCAACTTCACTGCTTTTGTCAAAACTTTATTGAGTGCGCCTTCATACTTGCCGGCCAACTTGGTTCTTTCTTCAACTTCCTTATCCAATTCTTTATAATCTCTTCCGTACCAAATGTTTGTTGCTGATGGGAAATAGCCTCTCAAGGTGTCGTCAGTCAATTTTGTTGTTGAAAGTTCTGTCAACATAAGTGTTCTTGAACTCAACAATGAATCATACAATGGAGTTGTTTGTAAAACGTGTCTAAAAGTGGTGTAATAAACCAATTCACGGTAAATGAGGAAAATGACTGCACCAAAAAGGATCCATGATAAAAACACATGGGCAAAAGTTCTCCATTTGTTTCGAACATTGGAAAGTGACAAGATATCAAATCCCTTGACAGTTGATCCAGATAAATTATTATTACCATTGGAAGCATTTACTGGAAACAAGATTGGCCAAGTAATGATTGCCCCCAAAATACAAACACAGCAAAATTCAAACAAGAATCGAAGGAAAAAATAGCCATCTGGGCCAGTATATTGAATGATATAAGTTTCTGGTCTTTTCAATAATGAAGTTAACCAACTGAATAAGCCTGTTGCCGGTGTGTCTGGTTGAATATCTTGAGGAAGTGACTTGACGACAGCACGTGGTTCGTAGACTCTCTTTTGAGTCTTACGTATTATAACGAATAGTAATACAAAAACCACTGATATGACAAGAGTGGGGACTAAGGTGGACAAGAACTGGGAAACAGAACTGTTTGACAGTGAACTTGATGAAGCCATTGTATTATTGTGGTTGAGTGGAAGGGAGAAATAGGCGTAGTTTTAGATGAAGCAGATAAGTGTAGTGTGCGATGAAGGGATTTAAAAGACAATTAGATGAATATTGAAGTGAAAATCTTGTTTGTTGATAGTTTTGTTTATAGCTTTGTTTAAAGCTTTGTGTGTAATTTTTTTTGGGTAAGTTCGTGTGATGAGAAAACTCACTCAATTAAAATCAACAAGTGGTGGTGGTGGTGGTGGTAGTAGCAATAGAAGATAAAAAGCTGCTAAAAAATTGAAATAAATTTCACAGATGAAATCCTCGAAGAAAGCAAGACAAGATGTGTTGTATATATATATATATACAAGTCATCTTTGCTATTTCTAACTGTACTCTTTTTATATACTTATTTAATTGTCTATCTGTCTGCGTGTCTCTATGTGTTGTTGTTTCTGTTCTATTGTTCTTGTGTATGTATTTGTGTGTGTAAGTGAGTGTAAAGGTAAGGTCTACGTAACTGAAATTCTTTTGTTTGTGTAATAATTTCATCTTTCTATTCTTATTGTAAAGTATTGTTCTATTATGTATGTCTTATTACGTGTGGTATATAATATATGCTGGTTATTATTATTATTTTTATTATTATTTTTATTATTATTGCTCTACTAACTTAACTTCCTTCAAACAACCTTTTAGTTAGTTAGTTATATAGTTAGTTCTAGCGTTAGTATTATTATGTCATGCTTTTAATTTACTTTTGTAATAATCAGCTTGTGTTTTTTTTATATATCTTTTTGGTCCTATATATATATATTTATAACTATTAATTTTTACATATAATAATGACACAGCCGTACTCAACTTCTTAGCTTTACTTTTCCTTACTTACTTTGCTTACTCCAGCCAATGTAATACCAAAAGTATTTAACTAATGGTTATATAGTAATTTGTTTATTGCTATCACTTATCTGCTACTTACTCTATACATTATATCACACACTTTATTTAAAGAGAGAAGAAAGATGGGAGAACAAAATAAAAAAAAATAAAAATAAAAAAAAAAACAGCAAGCATCCCGTATTCTAGTACTGCATATAAATACAGACTTATTCTTCCGTTACACGACATTAAAAAGAAGCATAAACCCCTACAAAACCAAAAACACACAATACAATTAAAGAGAGGGAAAAAAAGAAAAAAAAAGAAATTAAAAATTATGTATGACGAATAAGCCGCAAGAGCTGTGAATAACTAATAAACCTCAACTCATTAGAGCGTTGGTGCTTTAACAGCGTAAACAGCCTTCACAAATGAAATGAAAACAGAGACAACTGAAACCCCAAAAAAAATAAAGTTCAAAGTTAAAACAAAACAAAACAAAACAAAGCAAAACAAAACAAAACAAAACTAAAATGATACTGTAGACAACGTTTACTCCACATCTTAAGATGAAGAATGTCAGAATTAGTCTGATCTTTCCATCTATCTTACCTCCAACTCAAAGCATATGGTATTTCTTACTAGTTGCACTTTCTTTTCTTTACAAAGAAAGGTATATTATATAGGTAAAGAAGAACAAGGCTTATACTTTGTTGAATAAATATTTCAATGGTTTTTAAAACTTATGACCCTTTTTTTATGTTTTATTACTTATATATATATATATATATATATAATATAATACACACTGAAATAGCGCGGCCTTTGTGTGATGTAGGCTTTCAAAATACGTTAACATAGAAATTTTATTTTCATTTGGTTGCGTGTGTGCCTTTTTGAATAATTTATTATTATAAAAGTTTATGACGTAATTACCATTTACTTACTACTTACTACTTACTACTTACTACTTACTTTCAGTTGACTAATTGTTTGACTTTATCTTTTGGCTTTAAGGTAAAGTTTAATATCAGTGTGCTTTTATTTCAGATTTCAAATTTCAGATTTATTTACTCTCTTCAAGCCACCATCATTTACCATCATTTATCATGTTTTGTTGGTTCAAAAAAAAAAAAGAATAATAATTAAAACTGTTAACTGTTAACTGATACAAAAACATATACCCATCTCTCTCTCTCTCAATTATTATTCTTCTTCTTCTTCTTCACGCTCTTGTTTTTTTTTTTGCGCTTGTAAATTTTACTTCTTTTCTTTTTATTCTTTGTAATTCTTATTTGGTCTCTTTGGTTTGACTCTTTTATGCTTTTGGTTGTGAGTTTTGTATAACCGTTTGTGGCGGGAGGAGAAAGAAAGAAAGCAAGAAAAACGAGGCGCACAGACACGCAAATAGAATTTTGATTTTGTTACACACACACACATACACATGCACTTTTTGTTTCTTTTTGTTTCTTTTCTTTCCTTCTCTTGCATTTGTGTCTTGTGTTTGTCTTTTGTTAAACATCTAAGCCGAGGATAAAAACAACACCAGCACACACACACACACACACACTTTGAACAGGAGTTACAGGTACTTTCACTAGACACCACCGAAGAATATGATACTATATACCAATTGTTAAGGGGAGCTTTGGTTGAACCAACTCTAATAATTTGCCACCCTATTTCTAGTACACTCAACTTTTTTTTTGGTTCTTCATATTCTAGACCAAAGCATTTGCCAAATTACATCTGCGTTGCTAAGATCAATTCATAACCCACCACCTTCCGTTATCTAATGAATAATCAATTGCCGCTTCAAAATGTCTATATTTAATGCACTGCTACTTCCCTTCTCTTTCCTTCCCCCCTCTCATCACACCTCACCCTTGTAACTCATATTACCCAATTGAATCAACCGATGTAGCGGTAACCATTTTCAGAGCTTTTCTATTCGAGGCAGAATTAAATGACTACAAACTCTGTAGTTTGAAAATACGTACCATCGAGCCATACAACTCTATTGGTTATTTTGTTTGTTTTTTCTTAACCCAAATCTACTTTTCCCTTGAAGATTCGCTCATTCACTCAGACAAACCACCAACCCCATCATCAATGTATTTATTACTAATTGTTACATATCTTCTTACACCAGTGTCCACTTTTGCATCTACTCTCCATCCTATTCAGCCAAACAGTTTGCAAAACGATGACTTGCCCAATGTTTACAACGTTTACAATGTCAGGAATTCACTCCCAATTTTTCAATATAACAATTTACAAGATTTGCAACAAAATATGGACCAATTTTTGAACAACATCAATTATACCACTTCTAGCCCACATCTCTTTGTGGTTCAACTCACCGATTCAAACAGTTTTATTTTCCCCAACTTTGCTACAGCAGTTCCGCAAACAGAACACTACAATCATCAAGAAGAAGAAGAATTGGTTGGTCTTGGTCTTTTGTCAACTGCACCACAAAACTGGATCGAACTTTATGGTTCAGACATCATTCAACAAACCAGCATACAAGGAATCGAAGTACAGACACTATCAACAGTTGACGATGATAGTGCAAGAGGTGAAGTTGCTTACTCAACGGGAAGATTGCAAAAAGTATCCAGTGAATACGATTCAAAAATTTCCTTGTATATTGGCTTTATTGCCCTTATCGGTGCTACATCAGGCCTAACTTTTGCTCCTGAAATCGAATTCTCTACAAGTTCTTCAACTTATTACGCATGCCCTGTATTAGCAGGACAAACCGTGGTTGTCAAGGTGTATCCCACATTGACTACATTCACCCCTTACACAAAGAAACTAAAATGGAATCATAATTTACTGAAATTCACAACTAAATTACCTTTTGCCAAATTACAAAAGGCTTCGTTGCTTACACTAACAGGATTAGAGGATGTTGAGTGCTTCTACATATAAAGAGCTCCCCCATCCTCCTGCTCATCCTCCTCTCTCAAGCTAACAAATCAGTTTTAAAATAATACACAAACTATTTAAATCTGCACATATTTAAACCAATTTCCTCTTTAAACACTAAAGAATGCTCTACTAAACAACACTCGAAAAAGTGAGAGTCAATAGATAACACAAACTTATAGCATGTCTCGCATAAATATAAAGCTCTTCTTCACAAAATACACCTCTGCCTCTTTAGTTTAAATGTGTACAGAGGTGGATACACCTTCAGCTTGTTCATTGATCTTGCTTGCGACATCACTCTCGTGAACTGGACGCACATATTTATCAGCAATTGGCTTGATGACAACATTGTAAACAACATTTGCACCTCCGAAACTTGGAATACCAATGTACAACAAGAAGATGGTCTTGAACAAGTAGTAGAAAGGAATCCAGTACAAAATAGCCTTTGACCAAAATTCAATGACATTGAAAAAGGCAAAAACCACCCAATAGGTCAACAATTGAGTGTCATCTTTAGATGTTGATGTTTGCAAGGCCAAGATCGAGTAGTATCCTGGAACAACAAAACCAGCAATATTAGACAAGAGTTGTCCCACTCCTCCAATGTTCAAAAACACAAGAACAAAGTAAAGGCCAAACCCACCTAAAACAGCATACGATCTTGGCAATCCTGTTTGAGCTTGGAATTGGTTTAAAATTCCAATTGATTTGGTATTCTAAAAAGACAACCTCTTTGTTAGTATAAGAAAATAAAAGTAGTTTAAATTGGATCCGCATTCAGTTCAATTGACAAAACGACAGCTTTCCAAACAGATTGAGGGGAGAAGGTCGGCAGCAGCACTTCTTAGCTTTCGTTGGAACTGAAATTCATGAAAATCCTTTTGAACTGATCGAGAGTATTCTATTTTTTTTATCTTTTCAAACATACGTTGTCAACTTGGGACAAAACTTGTTTCAATTGATCTGGGATTCCGGCCATTGTGATTGCTTTTATCGAATATATCTTCTAGTTAGTATTGTATGATTGCAATTGGGTTGATAAAATAAGAAGAAAAAAAAAGTGGCAATAAATATATTAAAGTGGATAGGAAGGAAAAAAAAAAGAAATGAAAATGAAAATGAAAATGAAGAAATGAAAAATTAAAGGGGAGGGAGAGCAAAGTTAAAGTAGCAACCACACACACATACATTATTAGTACTTATGAATAACACAAAAATAAATAAACACACACACACACACACACACCAATTCCAGTTACCAAAGGAAAGAAAGAAAGATCTAAAAAAAAAATAACTCTAGAAAGAGAAGTTCCCTTAACCATTGGGAACCATCACCATCTTCATCCCATTTTGATTGATCCTGTCTTTTCCGTTGTTTATGGCATATGTCTCTTTAGGTCATACTCAAAAGTTTAAAACTTTGTCACATTTTCAGTCTACGTAATCTTGCAGTTGGTTGTTTTTTTTTTATTTTTTTATTTTCTTTGTTAACTACGCGCTTTGATAATACCACAGAAAGTCACACGATCGTATCTCAAGTGCGTTTGTTTTAATGCCACATTTTAATTTGCATCCAAAACAAAACCCGACTATAGCAATCAATATACATACGCTAATGCTAAAGCTAACACCAATGTCACGTTATCCTTTACTTTTTGGACCTCGATTTTGCACTTCCTTCAAATCCCGCTCTTTTCTTTTTATTTTTATTCTTATTTTGCACATTCTTATTAACAACACCAGTAAACTTTCTCAACTTTGGCAAGTTTTTCCTCTTTTGACCTTTGCCTTCTTTTCGAGCTTTCAAGTTTTCTTCCCTTCTTTTTGCTCTGGCCGAAACCGTGTCTTTAACAACCTGCTGTCGGTCTTTCCACTCTAATTCACTTCGTAACTTTTTCTTTTCTTTTCTCTTCAAAGCCTTCTTTAACAACTTTTCGTCGTCTTTTAATTTAATACCTTCTGCTTGTGACATCACCCTCAGCCAATTGTCCTTCTCCCTTTGCTTATCTTGTTCTTCCAGTGACATATTCTCCAATTTCCTTTTCTTCTTTTCTAACTTCAATAAATGAGCTTTGATATCCTTATTGGCAGGACCCTGTTTCTTCTTTTTATCTGCTGATCGACGGAGCGACGACAAATTCGAGGTGAGCTGAGATCCATCCAGGAAGGCAATATTACCATATAAAACAGCATGGGACTCATCGTCATCATCTGATCCCTCGTCATCTGACTCTCCGGAATCGTTATCATCACCATCATTATTTTCTTCGACATCCTCGTGCTTTCTTTTCTGCTGCTTTGATTCTTCTCTCCTCCTTCGTTCTGCAAGTATCTGTTCGCGAGAAGTTGGTGCACCGGTTGCTTTCGTTCCTACAGCTTTTCTCTTTTCCCGCAAATTGTTGATCTTGGACTCCAATTTCTCCTTCAACTTGGCTAAATTCTCTTTCCTTTTTGCCTCTTCTTCTTCCGATAACCCCAGTTTCTTTGCCTTCCCTCCATACATTTGGTTTTGTTTTTGTTTCTTTTCTTGATCCTGCACTTGATCTATAAGTTCGTTACCCTCATCATCAAATATCAAATTAGTTTGAGGAGTAATTAGTACCTCTTCTTCTTCTTCTTCTTCTTCTTCCTCTTCATCATCTTCCTCTTCCTCGTCGTCATCGTCCACGCTTTTCTGATCCAGAATTTCAGAATCCTCTTCTGAAACAGCTTCCTTCATGTAATCACTTGAAGCATCGGATGCGCCATTCGGCCTAGATGCAACAAGCTTGTCATCCTCCTTCTGCTGCTTGTTGTCTGTTACGTCCTTTGCCGTCGCATATGCATTCAGATACTCATCTGCATGCTCCTTAAGTTCAGGATTAAATTTGGCCTTTTTCTTCTGTTTTGCTTCTGCTTTGGAAGCTTTCTTTTGCTGCCATTGATCTTGGGTAGCATCATCGTAGAAATACTTTGCCGGGATTAGCGACAATAAGCTATCAAATGCAGACGAATGCTCTTTCAATCTCTCCTTGACATCATGTTAGTATCATTTCCACCGTCTCTCAGCCTTTAAACTGTAAATCACATACCTCTAAAGAATTGCTCATTGAGTCCTATAGCTCTTCTTAAAGGTTTTTAGTGCTATGATTTTTTTTTTTTTTTCTTCTTTCTGTAAGAGATGCATATACAATAGTAAATTAATAAGATCCTACAATTTCAAACACAGGAATTTGACCCTGTGGGGTGTAGGTATAGAGGGGCCCTAGTACATTAACCGATCAATTATTTCACAGATACATCTCTCTCACATCAATGAAATGTCTGCTGTTCCGTTTCACCTAACTACATCTTGGTCGTGTCCACGTGCTTAAAAATTGCAAAAATAACGACGAAAAGGATTTTTATGTTTTTTTTTCTTTTTATCTTCTTTCTACTTTGTGTGCCTTTTTGAAGCAAAAGAGTCGTCGTCGTCGTTGTCGTTCAAACGCTGACAATAATTGACTTATACATACTTTGCTAACAACATGTCATCGGGAAACCTGCAACCACTTCTTGCAGATTACTTAGTCTTATCATTGCCTCAATCAACAAATGCTAGCCTGTGGTTGGAGCAATCATTGAACAGTGGTAAACAACCTTTATTCAAGTTGAACGTTCCCGACTTTCAGAGTGGTACATTGGACTCCCTCGTTCAGGAAAGTGAGGAAATAAGCAAGATTGACCAACAATTGGGTGCGTCTGTGTCCAAGGTAGTTGATATTGTGAACAATGTCAATGATTCAAAGAATACCTCTCGAATTGTTCAATCAAGATCAGTATTCGACTACGTACAAAACTTTCAATGGAACTCATCCAAATATAGATTAGACAAGCCGATTAATCAATTGGTGAAAATAATTACCAATGAAGCATTGTCTTTAGACAATGACGTTAGAGCATCTTATCAAGCCTATCAAACGGCAAAATCTAATTTTTTGGCCGCAGATAGGAAAAAAAATGGAGATTTGTCAATCAAGTCGTTGCACGATATAGTCAAGCCAGAGCAGTTTGTGCAAGACTCTGAACACTTGGCTACTTTGCCTGTTGCGGTCCCCAGCAGTCTTGTATCTGATTTCAAGAACAACTACGAAACTTTGACCCCATTTGTCATACCCAGATCAGCCGAGGTGATTGAAAAGGACAAAGACTTTACCTTATTTGCTGTGACATTGTTTAAAAAGTATCAACAGGAATTCATAAACAGTGCACGAGAGCACAAGTGGCATCCACGTACCGATTTTGTCTATGATGAAGAAGTCCTCAATAATTTAAGAAAGGAGTTTGACACTACAAAGGCAGCTGAAGTGAAGCTGAAGAATGACCTTATTAGGTTGAGTAAGACGGCGTACCTGGACATTGTTGCTAGCTGGTTTCACATTAAAGTGATTAGAGTTTACGTTGAGGCGGTCTTGAGGTATGGTTTGCCACCCCAATTTGATAATTTCTTGATCAAGTTTGAAGGCTCTAATTTAAAGAGTGTGGGCAAAGCTAAAAAGGAATTGATTGAAAAATTTGGATACCTTGGAGGTGATGGGTATTCAAACAAAGCCAACTTGCACGAGTACGCCTCGTTGGTTGACACTGATTATGAGCCATTTGTTTTGTACGAATTTGAAATTGTTTAGGCTTTGTATAGACGCATAATCTCATAGCTGATGATATTTAAATCTCTCTGACATCTGGCCAACTGATGTTTGATGAAAGGTTTATATAGTTGGCTGTGTGAAACAGACTAGAACGTGTGTTTGCTGATAGTATTAACTGACCATTATTAGAGCAGAGATTGCGATAAGGGAAATTTTGTATGCAGTCGTTAATCTTTAGGTTTTAATCATGAGACACATTCACCGCCATACAATTGACAAGTTTTTGATTTACAGGGCACGAGCCCTTCATTTTACCTTGTTCATTGGAAAGCGAAGTAAATGATATGAATGAATTCATTCAAATAAATGTATTAGTAATCCCCCCATTTTCCCAAAGGAACTAAAATTAAAATTCTCTGTTTATAGAAAAACATTCCCCTCAATTTATTTTATGTTGTTTTCTTTATGCAATTCCCCGCAAGTATTATACACCACATTATCATACTGTATATAAACTCCGAGCTTTTAATAATACTACAGCAATTACACCCTTCTCCCCCTTTTGCCATTATATATAAATGACAGCTAATCAGGTATAAGTTATATGCCATTTAAATTCTCTTCTTCTTCTTCTTCTTCTTCTTCTCCTAACTACAAAATATCTATTTGAATTCAAAAATGCCAGATTTGTTTGATAACTTTTTCACTTCAATTGGTGCTAAATTGAACGGGGGACACACAAGACGTCGCTACTCTGCCGGTTCCCAAGTCAACACCGGAAGCTTTTACAGCTACCACAATTCACCCAGCAACAATAACTACTGGTTGCCCAGGAAGTTGTCCACTGCCGAGGACACGAAGGACAAGCCTGAAATGAATGCTGCAGGAAATGCTTTGGATGGAACACAACCCATCAAGCTTGGCTCTACCAATTTTAGCGCAACATCAAATGCTGCACCCTTGGATGACAATATCGAACCTAGGTCGAGGCTCAACAGTACTTCTTCAGAGAAAAGCATGGAGAATTAGGCGCGGCCGTATATAGGAGTCTCGAGTGCTGGTTGCTAAGACTTTTTTATTTATGTTAATTTGCCGTTGATGATTTGTGAGTATTTGGGTAGGAGGGAAGAAGAACAGTTGTTTTCAGTCTGTATAGTTAGTCAAATATTGTTTAAATTTTAGCATCATATCGTCTTTCGACAAGTTTCGCACTTTGGTTGCAAATCTTTTGATGACAAGAGAAACCCACCGAGTGTTGAAAGATGGTTGCAACTTACAATTCACTAATTGATACGAGCCTGTTTTCACCAATTCAATACATTTTAATGCATAAAAAAATTAGTGAGAATGGGGGTCAAGATATGTCCATTCAAATCACTGGCATGATCTCTATGGAGATTTTTAAAAAAAATGATCTAGCCGAGGATCGAACTCGGGACCTTTTCGGAGCTTACAATTGTTTACCAATTTGTAAACGAAACGTGATAGCCGCTACACCACTAAACCAATTTACGAGAAAAACAGTCGTACAAAAAAAATAATAATACCAATTCACATGATTTACGCGTGATTTATACATGACTTACGCATGATTTATAACCCTGTTTAATGCCATGTCCATACCAGTTTGGTCATGGAAGAGCCTCAAAAAAATAAAAATGACTACATGACAACAAACGCACAATATTATACTATTACTGTTATAGCTTCAAGCTAACAGTACATTATCAAATATCCCCTGATCCTATTCGTCTTTAAAAACAGTATGTGATGAAACATTGTTGCAAAATGATGATTAACTTACTTTTGGATGCAAACTACCTGCAGTACATTTATACCAAGTCTTGACGTTACTTATCTCAACAGCGTGATAAAGAATCCAGCGACGATGACAAAAATAAAAATAAAAAAATAAAACCATATAATTGATCCTTGCAACGATGTACCTTTCCCAAAATTAAGCCAATTCAAACCTCAGTGCAGGTCTCGTTTGCTTCTCGCACATAAGTATCACACTCAGCCATAATTGTGGTTCCATTTTCTTCGGCTTTGACTATGGAGATTGTGCTGTTCATAACTTACAGACAGGCTATGAAAGACACCCATGGTTGTAATAAGCCCTATGCAAGCTCGAAAAGTTCCAAAGTTTCACAAACTATCCCCAACAAAATGCAGTGCCTTCACGTTATTTGTATCTATTATGATCGCGAAAATTTATCCAACGTTAATGTAGTATGGATAATGAATATAACCAATACAGAAATCATGACTAGTAGACTCTTGTAACTTAATCGGTTGACAAATGCATTTATTATTTCTGCAATTAGTTCGATTGTCACTTCCAGCCTCGCGATCTTTGTTGGGTCTTGGTTTTGACATTTCTCTAATTGATCACACTCCTCATCCATTATCGAAGGTCGCTCAGGAAGATGGCACTTGTTTCTAGAGTATTCTTTTGAGCAATTTGCAATCTCATCTAGCACTTTTATAGTAAACTCATCAATTTTAAGCTCGATGTCAGACTGTATAGTTGAGATGCAAATATAAATGAGGTAAATCATGAAAGACCACAAAATTATATTGACAAGTAGTTGAAAATATAAGCTCAAAACGTAAGGAACATGAGTATTCAGTGTCAAATTTGCAAGCGAAGAAGCATTGCCATTTTTATGCACGTCAGTGGTTTTGTTATCGAGAAGGTCTGCCACGTGTGTGTTTCTTTTCCGTTCTGAAGATAACGCTATGTCACCCGTATCTATTGGATCTAAAAGACGTGTCCCTTTCAATGCCACTGCAGAGTCAAGTTGTTTCTCACTTGTATGCTCCAAATTCTCTCCTTCATCATCGTTAATTGCAATTGTAGTGTTTTCGTGTCTGGCAGTTATAAAGTCTTCACCTAGTACGTCATCACTCTCATTCCTCTTAATCGGCGTTGATTCATACTCTATCCCGCTCACTGTTATAGGCGAAAACTCTTTTTCCATATCCCACTTCACCAAGCGTTCTGTTTCTTGCTTTGGTTTGTTTTGATTTTTCCTATGATTTTTATTTTTGTTCTTAGTTCTTTTTTATGCGTATGACGCAACTCACTAGTTTCGTCTATTACAGAACACACATGTAGTGTACCAATAGGACAATTAACTGTCTTGTTCAACACGAGTTAGCTAATAGAGAGCTGCTGTAAAAGAGCTCTAATGGAGCTCTGTATGTAAAGCTTAGTTTTTCTTTATTGGATTCCTGATATTGGTTAGTTGCTTCATTAATCAGAAGTGGCTTTATTACGTCTCTACTCAGAACAAGTCATTTACACATGGATAAAGCACGTTGGTAGATGAATTTCCTCAGCATCGCCTTACATTCTCAACCTTCTTCTTTCTACTGTATCATTTCTCTCTCCTCAGTGTCCTCTGTCCAGTGAAGTGTTTCTCGTTAAGAAAAAGTATTGTTGTTTGGTAGACACTCTTTTCGCAGCAACACCTTCGTCTTACAGCATACACACGATGCTACAGTCTCACATTCCTATGCTCCTACATTTCTACAGTCCTTCTCTCCTCCTGGGGTCACTTAGAGGGTATTCACTAAGTACAGGAGACACACTAAGCTGCTCCTAAAGACTCATCACAGGGTACCGCTTGGAGGTGTGATGGGGCTACCCTATCAGCTCCCATATTCCCCAACAAAAGTCCATAATTTTTTGGACGCCCCCTAGAGAGCCGGGACATGTCAAAATTTTTCACTTGGACTTTAATATCCGAAAATAGTACCTGCACATGAGTAGTACAGATTTTGAAAATACAAGATTGTACGTTACAATTCTAACACAAATATGCATAAAACAATAAAAATGTAAGATCTAGATTCTTTTGTATTGTGTGATATTAGTGGAGAAGAAATTTGCATGTGATATTTTCAACTGTACCTATCCTTTTGTAATACACAATGTAGGACATAAGAAGTGTTGAATTAGAGATAAATCGAAGCACTTTGAATATCTTACTTTATGATTTTGATATGGAAGAAAAAAAAAAAGAAAAAAATAGAAAAACGTTGTTCATAATTTATTAATCGTGTACATAACTAAAACCACCCATCCCTCCCCCCCCCCCCAATTTCAACATCATATATACATTAACCAGAAGCGCCGGCAGATCAAAAGAAAACAACAATGTCATTAGATTTATCTACATTATCACAGGATATCCAATTCCTATTGCGCAACTTCCCCCACTATATCAATTTCAATGATCAATTTTACTTCACCTTGGCCACTATTGCATTCAACCCAATTTTTTGGAACATTGTTGCTCGATTGGAATACAATACCCATTTCTTAACCAAATTGGCTGGTGGATCTGCTAAAATTGGGTGCTACATTTTGGCATTCACCATTTTCTCCCTCGGTATTTACCGTGATTCGGTTTACCATGATTTATTGTTGAATCAGCCCACTTATCAACCATTAATTGATTCAACTGTGGTCAGACTGGTGGCAATTGCTAGTTTTTGTTTTGGAAATGTGTTGGTATTGTCGTCGATGTGGGCCTTGGGTGTAACTGGTACTTATCTTGGTGATTATTTTGGTATATTGATGGATGACAGAGTTACCGGGTTCCCTTTCAGTATTAATGATAATCCCATGTACAATGGATCTACTTTATGCTTCTTGGGTACAGCTTTATGGTATGGCAAGCCAGTAGGGTTGGCAATCACCTTGTTTGTGTTTGTGATGTACAAGATTGCGTTATTGTTTGAAGAGCCATTTACAGCCAAGATTTACGCCAATCGTGAAAAATTGGAGTAGAGAGGTTGGTATTAACTCTTGGAAGTTATGTACAGCTTGATTTATTGGATATAGTGAGCTTGTGTACATATAGCATGTATTGAAAAGTTAGATAGCGTAAGGGTGTTCATAGAACCCAAACTGCCAATCCCTTTTGCGTGTAAGAAGCAATATTTAGACCTATACTTTAGAAACTGCAAAGACAAAAGTTATCCTGTATTTCTGCGACCACCAAAGCAAAGAAAATATCAAATGGAGTATATTTATTACAATCTGAAAGAAGGAATGAAAGGAATTGAAAAAAAAATCTATACACTTGCAGCTGAATAAAGTAACCTAACCAAATGAATGCAAAACCTATCACCAAAGTGCGCCGTGCAAAGCGTTGTTCTTTAACGTTCGCATCACGACTTGAATCTTAAAAGAATAACAGCAACTCAATTAAAGTCAAATGTGCTAGAAACCCCACGATCATCAACATGGCTCAATGACAAAGATTGAAACTTTTCCGATGACACATGATAATACAACCCATTAATATCACCCGGTCTAGATCCATAAGCAGCTGTAGCTGTACCACTGGCACCACCGCTTGGATTGTTCCTATTGCTGGAGATTGGTTTATCTCCAATTTTATCCATCTCTATATCCATATCTATTATATCTTGTTCAAGGCTTTGATTATTGCCAATATTCAAAACAATATAATAGAATCCTTCAAATGAAGCATTGGGTATTTGTTTTACTCGTGAGTCGGGTAATAAAAACTCCTCCTTCCATCTCATGTATATATATTGATGTTGATCGTCATCACTACTCTCTTTGCCCTGGTAGATTTTACCCAATTTGTTCGTAAATTCATTATATTGATCAAGACTCATTAAACGTGACGATGAGTGGGGACAAGCAGTAGCACCAGCACCAGCACCAGCACCAGCACCAGCGGCAGAAGAAGAAGAATAATATGGACATGTTGCATATGCGGCTGTTGGGAACGTTGGCAACGCTGGAATAGCTGGGGATTTAGTGAGTCTTTGCCAATGGTCTAAGTCATTTTCGGGAGATGAACCCCAACTCTTGTTCTCAGCAATAAATGAATATCTTTTGTATTCATCATCATATAGAGGGTGCAATCCAAAACGAGATGAGGAAGATTGTTGCTGTTGCTGAGTGAAAAGAGGATTATTAATAATCTCCCCTCTAAAGTAAGTAATTATCTCCTCGTGATCTTTAGTCAACCCATTGATTTGCAAGAAACCGGTAACTAATGAATTCTTTAAATCAACGGTTTTGAATTCAACTTTTATTCTAAACCTTGACTTGCCAGATTGTTGTTCTCCAATAAATTGCGCATTTGGTTGTAGATAGGCATTATAGAATGCAGGGGCTGTTTGTGGTTGTTGGCTCTCTTTAACTTGCTGATGATGATTGTTATGCAGAAGCGACGATAATGGTTTAATCACACGTCTAGAAAAATCAAAATGATCGCAAAAGTGTTGTTGCTGGTGCTGCTGTATTTGTTGTAATTTGAGTTGTTGCTGACGTTGTTGCTGGCGTTGTTGTTCGACCTGAGTCTGCTGTTGTTGCTGGTGCTGCTGTTGTTGTTGCTGTTGTTGTTGCTGTTGTTGTTGCTGTTGACTTGTTGGCATATTTTATTTTATTTTGTATAGTTTTAGTGTTGTTGTTGTTGTTGTTGTTGTTGCTCTCTCTTCTCGTTCTTATCTGATATATATATATATATAAAGTAAAGTAAAGTAGAAATGAATGAATATGATTTTGAGAGATATTTTTATCTTTTATTTCGTTATTTCTTTTATTGTTAATTGTGAAGACAACACAGTAGTTATATATGACACAAGTATATATATATATATATATATATATAGGTACATATACCCATGAGATGTGTTGTGTCTACTGTATACTGCCGGGTATCCACCATGTAAGTGGTATCAAATACAGTTACTACATCTGATGGATGTATAATGTATACACACAGTAAATATGAGATGACTATTTTACCTTTACAATACTAATCTTACTAGTTACTGTAACAAAAAAAAATAACAAAAAGAAATTAAAAAAAAAATACATTAAAATTGCGCATTATATAACAAGACACAGGATATATCTACGACAAACAACAGCTTTTGAACATCGCATACTATCTACCATATACTATCTACCATATACTATCTACTACTATTCACTGTATAAGGTTTGCGAAATATACATTTGGTGACCATTTCATACATTATGTTGACTTTTACTACCATACTTCGGATCAAACCCTTTTCCTTTTCCTTTTCTTTTCTTTTCTTTTTGTTTTTGCTTTCTATTTGTGTAATTCTTACTGCGGATTTATCGTTAAGCACAAATCTCATAACCAAATAGCCAATAACCATTTAGAACAACTGCAACCAATCATCTGAAGTCACACACACACACAGATATACCTACACTTTCAGACACACATAAACTTCACAAGACCCTAAACAAACAACTCTTCTCTACTCGACCAAACATATATCTTACTAAAACACATCCTCATATGTTCATATGCTTTAATCTTTTGCAAATTCTGCATCCTCTCTTCTCCTCTTTACTATTGTATATTGCCCTCCTTTTTCTCATGCCCACCCCTTCTATATTGACACCAAATATACAACTGTTACTGTACTAAATTGTTCAATCCTTCGATATTGTGCACCACTTCCTCCGAGTCTAATTCCAATCAAAGCAAAACTGACACATTTTCCTATTCAATCTCCGTTCCACGGAATTACCAACAAGACAAAAAAGTTAAGCAAAAGGTTAAACAAAACAAGACAAAGTTTAAACCTCTACTTTAGTGCTGTCAGTGAAACATTCAAATGCGGCTGGTAATTTACAGAGACTCAAAAGACAATGATTAAATCAAATACATTCAAAGCTTTTATAACTATAATGCCTTTTATTCAAACTATACTTTACAAAGTTTTACAACTCATTACTAAAAATAGCTAGTCTAGAGAGCCGCACAATCTGAGGCCAACTTTCTATCAAAAAAGAAAAGTGCCCCATTCACCTCTAAATCGAGGCAAAAAGGCTACTAGGTAAGGGAGGGGGGGTTAATTTGTCTTATTGGATGGTATTGAGTTCATAATGTCAACAAAGTTAGAGTTTGTAGTGGAGGTTTCTCTCTACAAAAACAAAATTCGGGCTATCAAAATGTTTCTTCTCATTTAAAAAATGGAGTCATCCTTTTCAAAGCAAAGTGATCATCTTTATTTTGGCTGTATTCAAATAGCACCCCCACCCTCCACACAAAGACACACACTATAGTCACGTCTCATACATCTGATGCTGCGACCTCAATCACCACCTAGTCCTGTACACCCTGCTCCCAATGAAGAGATAAAACCAGGCAGTCTACCGACAACACAATTACAAAATGATGATCTAGATTTGAATCCCGACTTGTATGATGACACCAATGACCAACCATCACTAACCACTGAAGATAAACAAGATGAAGCTAATTACGACACTGTCATGTCTCAAGTATCCCAACTGCACGAATTTGATAAAGTTGATTTGCAAAACCTTCAACAAATAACTCTTCCTTTCAATGAAGGTTTCCAACTATTTAAACTGAGTTTTGAATCGTACCCCAGTACTAGCCCCATATCATCTGATCAAAAGTCTAAATTTATTAATTACATTGATGATCAACTATTACAAATCCAACGTAAATTTATCAAACAACAATCAACGAATGAAGTAATTTACCCATTTGGTGTATTAATTCAAAATTTAGATGCGATTTTTGATATAATTTGGATATCAATATGTCATAAACAACGATTATTTGGACAAGAAGAATACTATATTAAAATAATGGGTGATTTGGAAGATTATGTTGCCCATTATTCAACCACCACCACTACTATTTTTGAAGAAACATGGCAACTAAATTCTCAGAATGAACCAATCATGCAAGTTGATTTTACCAAAATTGTTGCTGTGTGCAAATTTTTACAGAAATTGGATTTACAATTAAGTTTATTGATTGATGGATATGCTGAGGATAATGATGACCAAGGAGGAAAAACACAACGCTTGAATGAAACACAAAAGGTACGATTAAATATGTTGGTTCAACGATTGAGATTACGAATTATTGAAGGTTTTGAGAAGGTGGCATTACTGGCTCAAAGAAATGGATTAAGAGATGTGTTGGAAGTAGAAGCCACAAGAATCTTTGAAGGGGTTTTGGAGAGATTATTGTAAATTGTTGAAATGCACATATTAAGTTATGATATATCTCGTGAGGATTATCTCTATAGTTTTTAACTGGAATTGATAGACCTTTGTAGTTTTTGCTATAAAGATATGTAATCTATCAGTATAATATATGATCAAAACGTTCAATAATTTCTATACAAATTCTATAAATTGAAAACGAGAAATCTACTTCTTAAATAAATAACAGCTTGTTCGTCTACACATTTGTCTTTTATTTCTACACAGGCGTCGTCGTTTGAAGACCATTAAACCGACAATAAGTCCTTCACATTATGTCTTGGTGTATTTGCAGCCATTCTCTATTTTCTCGTGTCAAGATTTATGTTCGTGTACAATGTTCGAAATACAAAAATATAATGTTGAAAGTGACTGCAATAAAAGAATTAGCAATATAGATAAGTAAGTTTTCACAAGAGTATAGATTCCAACAATACAAAACATGGTCGTTCTTGTTGATATATGTAATATAGGGCTCTTTAACGTTCTTGTCAAAGTACGTGGCTTGTCAACTATGCGTACAAAATAGTTTTGCAACATACCTAGAATGATTTAGAATGTTCTATAAAGGTGATTGCTAATATTCAATAGTTAAGGTCTCAGAACTTCTAGTCATTTATATTTTTGATGGATTTATGATATTATGTCACTTGTGTATTGATGACTTATAGAGAGGTCATCCATAATGAATTCTACTGCATTTGGAGGTCACGCTAGTGAACGATCTGAGGGGTGTTCTAGAGGCTAGTGTGTATATTGATTGTTGTTTGCTAAGATGTTAGCTGAATTTTTTGAGGGAGTTCTAAGGGTTAGCATATGTCATGGAAAAGAATATAAATAGGGAAGAAGAATTCCTTGAGTTTGAGTTTTATTTAGATAGAGCAACAACGATAAAAATAATAATATTTAGTTGTTGTAGCATCTATTTTAGTTATAGTGACTACAATGAAGCGTTCCATCCAAATGAAATTGAAGTTGATAACTTGCAATCCGACATGAAATGAGACAGTGAGGGTGTAGATGTAGATATAAGCTCTAAACAAGAAGAAACTTGTAAACGTAAAAGGGCTCCATACAGATACTACTCTGAAGCACATAAGCAAAGATTCTGGCAACTGGTTATTGAACAAGGGTACACTGCTTACAAGGCAGTCCAAGCAATGGTTACCAACCTGCAAACAGCTTATACATGAAAAAGAAAGTGGAATCGTCAAATCCTCCGTGAACTCAACGGTATTTGTGACGAACCCAAAAAGCGTGGCTGCAAACCTCTTCTTTCGGAAGAACACAAAAACTATTTGAAAGGCTTAGTTCTCTTAGACCCGACTGTTACCTTAAGCTACTTGTTGAATAAACTAAGGAGTACATTTGAAGGTGTGAAGGCAAGTGATTCTACTATTTATAACTTTCTCGCAAAAATTTGTAAATTCAGTCTCAAGAGACTCTCTAAATGGGGCATGAGAAGAGACCTGCCAATGACCACATACAGTATTGATTAGAGCTGAGATCTTTCTGGAGTATGAACCCTTTTTCCAAAACTAATGAGTAAGAAGGGGACAATTTTTAACTTGAGAAAATGACAGCAAAACCTTTGAGAAATGAAAGTAGAAAAAACTAAGATGCAAAAACTAAAAATGGGAATAGCAACAAGTTACTATTTAGTGCCCTCAAGCTTGCCAATCAGGATAAATTTGGGGAAATATGTTGGCTAGTTGTATAGTTTGAATAAGTATGTCACGTTGGTATGAACATTTATGTCTTTGTGGTATGAATAATTGTGTCGCACTATGAATTAAAAATAAAAGGACCGTACATGTGGAGTTACGATTTGAAAGGGGGTTAAATAAAAAAATAAAAAACACGTAAAGTTTGAAATAAAGAAACTATTACACAAACAGAATATGAACAAAATTAAATTAAATTAAATTAAATTAAATACGCGTCAAACTTATATTTTATTATTACTGTATTTTAAACTGTTTCACTTATTTGTTACAAAAGTACACTACTTTTATTTCAAATAGTAATAACTGTATTTAGTTAATTAATTAATTAGTTAGTTAGTTAGTTATTTACTAAGTATTATTATCATTGTATTTACTTTACCTAAGGGTAAGTGAATGTAAGTCTTTGTATATGTACTTTATGTTCACACATAGCACATACACACATACACATATATATATATATATATATATAGATAGACAGTGAGAAGAAGTACAGTAGTTTCTATCTCAGACCAAATAGAACAGACAGAGAAATAAGACCATTCTGAAATTGAATCTATTTTTTTCTTTCTTTTTTTAAACAATAAAACAATAAGACAATAATAGACGACAACAACGAAGAAAAAAGAAAATTTTTTTTCTTCTGCTTTTATTATTATTATTATTATTATTATTATTATTATTATTATTATTACACTATACACTACTACTACACGCAGACAGAAGGTGGAAAAACAGGAGACACACACACATACACTACATGATCTTCAACAAAACCTACTTTGCTTACTTTGCTTACTTTGCTTACTTTGCCTAGTATTCTACCACCTCATTTATTACCACCACCACCCTTCCAATACTACAACATCATAAGAGTATAACAACACTCCTTTAGTCAAACAACAACACTAGCAGAAGCAAAGAAAAGTGGGTGTTTCACAACACGGTTTTCTTTCACATCACACTCCCTTTTAAAACAAATTTTATATTTATACATCTACATATACATATACACATTATACCCGATACCAATCCTAACTACTAGTCAGTCAGTCAGTCAGTCAGTCAGTCAGTCAGTCAGCCAGTCAGTCAAACACACCAATATAAACTTATAATCCACTTGAGAAAATAATTGCACATACACATATATATACACACAGATACAACTAAAGTAAAGATGATACCCTCGTTATTCCATGGCAATGGTGGCCACTATAACTTACTAAATTTATACCACTACTATATCACCACGTTACTACTCATTTCTCAACTATCGTATGTCAATGCAGCCTGGTATCTTCCTGCAACACTGGTTGGTTGTTACTCAAAGATTTCCAATGGCGATTCACAAGGAGAATATGATTTTCAATCTTCTGGCTATTGTTCATCTGTTGGTTGTCCAAGCAGTCAATATATTGCTATAAAGGGGAAAGAATGTATTTGCTTATCAAGTTTACCTTCAAGTTCTGATAAAGAAGATAGTTCAAGTTGTAATATTGCATGTCCTGGTTATGATTCAGAAATGTGTGGTGGATCAAATGCTTATTCCGTATTTGTTGGTGAGGGAAACAGTGATGATGATTCTTCTTCTGCTGCATCAGATAGCCCTTCTTCGTCTTCTTCGTCTTCTCCATCTTCTTCCACAGGTGACGGTGGTGGTGCTACTGCTGCTGGAGGAAGTAACGACGCAACTTCATCAATAACGTCTAACAATCAACAATCTGGTTCTACCCTGGCTGGTGGCAGTGCTAGCTCGTCATCTAACAATGCAGCTGGAGCATCAGTTACATCTACTCAAACAAACACCAACAGTCGTAATCCAGCGTCAACAGTAGTCACAAGTACTGTTAGTTCTAGTGGTGATGATGATGGAGGTGTCATTATTAGAACAGTCACTCAAAGCGCCTCATCATCATCTTCATCCTCATCGTCAACATCACCAGCATCATCATCTGAAGCAAATACACAAACAGTTACCTCATCTGGATCAAAATCAACTTCATCAAGTGATGGCAAAGACTCAGACTCAGACTCAAGTAAAGGAGGCAATAAGTCCTCTACAGGTGCCATTGCCGGAGGAGTGGTTGGAGGAGTAGTTGGAGCAGCACTTTTAGCTGGAGTAGCAATCTTCTTTATTAGGAAAAAGAGATCCCAAGATGATTACGACGACGATTATGATGAAGAAGGCTTTTACACCGAGAAATCAGACTTTGGTGGAGGCGCAGGAGCAGGAGTAGGCGCAACAGCAGCAACAGGAGGAGGAGGAGCAGGTGGGGGATCAGTTTCAAGGACACTTGGATCACATAAAGGATCCAGAAAGAACAATAAACAAAAAGCATCGTCACCTTTGGATATGCCAATGGTTAACCCATTCCAACATCCGGATGATGACTTGGTACTGAATAACACTTCAACAACAACTACAGGAGGAAATCCAAGTATACGACAACAGTATCCCGTGAGTGGAGCAGGAAATGGAGAATTTGTGGATCCAAGATTAAACACAGTAATGATGGGCAGAAGAAGATTATCAGACGGGTCATTGGCAGATGAAACTACAAATGACTATACCCGTAAAGTTTTACAAGTGGCCAATCCCGATGAAAGCTGATGATTCTTTTTTTTTTTCTTTTCTTTTTATTATTGCTAATGATTTAGAATGGATCTATTTTACTCAGGTACTAATGGAGGGGTTGATTATCACGATTGTAACGAATTTTAAAGCTGTTCAACATATTCCCAAAACAAGATAGGAGACGATTTTCACAGGTTGGTTAACCTCATTATTTTAAAGATATTTCTTTGATGTCATATCTATACCTCATTATTGCTTTTGATATCATATGTTTATTTTTTTTTTTTGTTTCAGTTCACTGGTTATTTTTTAATTTATTACGTTTTGTTTTTAAGGCTAATTCAAATGATGAGTACAAGCTAAGACCCTGCTATTCTTCCAAGTACCAAAAGAAGGAGAAGAAAGCAAAGAAGCTGATGTATTTTGCAAATATATTTTGAATTTAGTAATTTATATATGTTTTTACAAGATCAATTTTATGTTCGATAAAAGTTTTGATTTATCTTTGATTTCTTTTGAAAATTTCAACACGATTCGTGGTCTTTGTAAAGATGTCAATATGTAACGTATCGTTCTTTGACTATGAAGTCTCCAAGTTGATGGTCACTTACTAATTGGTAGCCCCTTAGAATCTTCATTCTTTTGGAGTGACAAAAACAAAAAGAATTCTAAAAAATACCGCTTCTAAATTTATCTCACAGTTTTTTCCCTTTCTTTGTTGTGTTTCCTGCGATCTAACCAAAGACAACAAGGTTTAGATAACAAGTAATGCCAGGTTACGAGAGAGTATGTTATAAGAAACAGCATGATTGTAGTAGTGGTGGTAGTAGAGGTGGTACTGACGTGTGGCTCATTTATTATGGCGAGAATCTTTCTTTGCCCTCCCTCACAGTGAACCGAGCTGCGCCTACCACGACCACTACCACGTTAATTAAAAGTTTCCCCATCCCTTGTTTACTAACACTTTCCAATAGTTGAATAGACATAGCGAGGATAGTGAAGACAACAACGACATGTCTACCGATTTGAGTAGATATCAACAATCTACATCAAATCTACTCACAGATGCAACAAATACAGACACCACCCTGCCATCCCCATCATCGTCATCGTCAATACCAAACTCAAACACAAACGACTTGGAATCACAAACGCCACCGCGTCTTACCCCAAAACAACGCATAATACGAGTCATTAACCACTTGCTACCCGTGAGACAAACTTATGAACGACTCAATAATGGATTACAAACAGGACGAATGCAAGCAAACCGGCCCGGCACATTCATTGGCCAGGGAACCGACGGGGTTTTCCAAAACTTGATGGCGAAACCCGATACTGCATCAGCTATCGAACAACAGCAACGCGAGTTACACCCACCGACATACGAAGAAGCTAATCAAGACAATAGCCCCGAGTACTGGGAATCAACAATGATTTCGCCCATGTTTGAAGATGAAGTTTTTGTTCAAGGGTTGCCCGTGGGAAACATTGCTAATTTCATCTGGAATGGATTAGTTACGGTTGCTTTCCAATTCATTGGGTTTATCTTGTGTTATTTATTACATACTTCGCATGCTGCGAAACAAGGATCCCGATTAGGATTGGGAATTAATCTAGTAATGTTTGGATGGGATATCTTACCTACGTTTGTAGGAAATGCTAAAGAGATTCCCAAAAAAATTCAAGTTGCTGATCCCAATGATTATGAAATTGAGAAAAGTGCTAAAATTGCTGGTAAAATCGATAATTATATAGCTCTGGGTTTTTTTGTTCAAAATCTGGATACTGGTGGGGCTAGTTCTGATGGTGTTGATACTAGTGGCAATTATGGGAATAGTTCTGCGCCTTATGTTGCTTATGGGTTGATTTCATTTGGGTTATTTGTCATTATAAAGAGCATAGTTGATTTTTACAAAGTGAAGCAATTGGAGAGATCGATTTTGAATCCGTCAGTTAGCGGAGGCGCTAGTAGCAATACTACAACTGGTGCTGCTGATGCCGCTTCCACAACTACGACAGATGGTCAAACCACACAAAGTAACACCGATACGAATGGAGATGACTCCGATCCTACTGATCTACGGTAATTAGATCTTTACATCCGTCTTGTTAGAAAAATATTAAATCTATTAATATACTGCACAGTCGACATCTTTTATACACAACACTACTTTTTGCACATTCTTTTCCCCTCCTCAACTATGCTTTTTCGTTAATGCAAAATGACCAACATCTTCTCATAAATAGTAAATACAATACCTCCACTTAAAACTAATCTTCCTAATCTTGGAGTAGCTCCCTTCCAAAAAGTCAACAATCCTTCCTGTTTGAAAATCTTGACAAAACAGTCCAAAGTCGACCTATATAATTTCTCTGATCCCAACGCTTGCATTCTTGTCTTGACCGTGTCTATAGGCATGGTGGTGTACACGGTAATAATACCAGCAAAAGCGCCCACTGCAAATGTAGCAGCCGAACTCAAAGGCTGATTGGGTTTAGTTCCCGTAGCTTGTTGTATCATGGTCTTGATAGCATTATACGACCCCAACCTCACTGCTTGATTGGCCGCTTGTCGCAAACTGACGGGAACGACACCAGAATAAATTCCCCTCAAACCCATATCCTTAACCAACTTCACGGTTCCACTAATCAACCCCAGCTGATATTTCGGTTGTGGACGTTGTTTGTCATCGATTAACCCGGTTTTGATTGCTTCAAATGGCGTCACGGCAACCACACTCTCCAATAACCCAGCACCCAATCCAGCGATCACCCCTCTTGGACCCGACAATTTACCCTGTTTATCAACTAGCAAATTCTTGATGTAATCAAATCCCAAGAATCGTACTGATGCTTTTGCTGTGTTTCCAACAACAAATGCCGGACAACCGACATACAATGCTCCAATCCCTTGAGTTTTACCAATGGAGTAGATTAATTTTAACGGGTTTCTTGAAGTGGCCTTGGCCGATTTGTCAATGAGTTGTAAACGAGTTTTGGCAAACTCGAAAGGGTAGGTGATCACTCCCTCCACGGCACCAGCTGTACCTCCAGCAATAAATGATTTGAATGGATCTACTTGCTATAAATGACAAGAAGTTAGTTTCAAACAAGTACTCAAGCATGTTTTGCTAAGTGGAGTCACTAGCTCTGATATGATACTGTTACATACGTCTTTTTTGGGCATTCTATACCATGTACTCTCTGGTCTGGGGAAATTGTGTGGAGGTAGATCAAATGGTTTTGCAGCGAGATCGGGGATAATACACATACTTTGATAAATTTTTCAAAGTTTGTTCTTGTGGGTTTGGTAATTTACACGACCAAAGTTAATTAGTTTCTACAACTCTGACCCCAAAATTTCATTAAGAAATCATTTTCTTCGTATCTACCCTCTTGACCATGAATCGTCTTGGTCATGAATTCAAATTGTACTAATATACAATTAATATACAATATGGGGCCATGTATACTAGCTCTAGAATGGATTGAATTTGCTATATTTATCAATACAATGCTATAAATATATTGGGAGTTTTCTGTTTATACATTAACGGCACAGATTTTTCTGGTTTTATCCGTGCCCTGTTCTAATCTACAATTTTATTGTTACATTAAAAGTACCTTCCAATGGATCGTGTTCATACAGCACTCGATCACTCAATACTGGGTCAGGTGTTGGAGGTCTATAATCTGGATTCTTGACTTGGGAGTGATTGACAAATATTTCATCATATTCGTAAACTTCAGGTACTGCCAAGTCAATTGCACCCGGTAAGATACTTGATGGTGCTGGGGTTCTAAATGTTTTAGGCACATCGGATAAATCTGGTATCACGTTGCCTCTACCAATATGGGCAGCATTACGTCTTGACGACAGGAATCCTCTTGAACTACCGACACTCAGTATTGTTTTGTTGAAACCTTCATTTCCTGTAGGAGTAAATGTGCCTGAACCAAATCCACCACTGCCGCCACCAAAACCACTAAAGGTCTGTCCATCTTCATTATAATTATGCCTTCTCTTACGCCTACTTTCTCTTTCCATCTCTTTATCCATCCTTTCAAGTTCCAATTCCGTCAATTTGATCAACTGAGGACTAAAATCAGTTACATTTGTCGGATTTCTCAAAATGGAGAAAAAATCATCAACAACTTGATAATCCTTCGATGCTAAACGTAATGGCGGAAGCAAGTGATTACGAATTGAGTCTTCAGTAACTGGGGTTCCATCATAATTGCACCCCACCAAATTCAATGCCTTGATATACATTTGACATTGCTCACGTATGCTATGGGCTATAGTGGTACTAAACTCTCCTGGTAGATAAAGCTCATCGCACATGATTGTGGCAAACTCTTCTGGTTCATTTTCATTGGTCCTGAGAATGTCCCATTCAAACTGATCTGTGAGTTGGGTATTGTTCATGATTATATCAATCTTGATAGGTATACGTATTTCCCCGGTTGTCTTTACAGGCTTTTGCTGGTACTCGGCAATTTGCTCCTTAATACTGTTCAATATCGTTTGATAATGAATACGCGGTATAAGCTTATAATCATCCAATAACTGACTTGTAAAGTCCTCTATAGTGAAAACCTTTTCATTCAAATCCCACAAAAATGTATCGCGCAACTTAAACTTGTCTCTTTCCTGATCGAACTCAAGCCTGATTGGCACATAGTTTTTGGGGCCTTTTGTTTGAGCTAGTCTTTCATTAATCATCCGGTCTGAAATGTCCCTTTCTGGAAGTGATAATCGACTGATGGTGTTTGTGATCCCATTACCATAGCCTTGGTATCCTTCACCCCATATACTATTGTTCATTTGGTTCTTGGCACTCAACTGTATTGAGTTCATTCGCAACTGTTTTATTTGATTGTACTGTTGTAAATCGCGGGAAGCAGATTCAACTTCGTGCCTCATAGTGACATGCTGCTTTGCCGAGTTTAACAAATAGTCCGAGTCTCTCTGTATAATCTCCTCATAGACATCTGTATCCAATGGAGCCGGTCTGCCTTCCGCTTCAAACCTATCTGACCACTGATGAAGACTCGTCAACTGCTTGATAGGTAGCTTGCCCTGTAGCTCCTGAGCTTTTGCAGGAGTGACTCCTGGGATAGCAGCAAACGAATTCATGCGAGATGGGTCAAGGAGACCTGGTTTCTGCAAATTTGCCAGTGACGGAGTGTGACTTGTACTATTGGGAGGAAAAAAATTGGGCAGTTGGCCATGGGGGAATGGCATTACTCCATTGGGTTCGCTTATTGGCATGGCGCCTCCAACTACATTGTACATAATGTGAGCGTCAGCCGCCCCTGCAGAAGGTGGAGCCAGGGGTCCTACGATTGGTATATTAGCGCCTGGTATCCCCGCTTGCATTGCCGGGGCCAGTACATTGGGTGCTTGTTGGGGTAAATTGTTGGGAACAGTACCACCAGGGAAATTACCATCGAATCCTCCTTGAGGTGGTTGTTGTTGTGGACCCAAGCGCGAATGTGGTTGATGTTGCTGAGCATTTGGAAAGTTATTAGATTGTGTTGGGTGTGCACCAGCACCTTGTTGAAAAGCTGTGGGTCCTTGTTGGGATATTCGTTGGGGGCCATTTAGAACCATGTTGTTGTTGCCATGAACTGCGATTGGCAGTTGCCGTGGTGCCTGCTGATGCTGGTGTGCCTGTGCTTGTGCTTGTGCTTGTGATGGTGGTATGTTTTGCGTCTGGGGGAAATTAGGAGCACCTCCAGGAAAGCCTTTACCTTGCTGATTTAAAAGCTGTTGCCTCTGGATATATTGCCGAATCATTTCCTGAAACTGTGGGTGGTTTTTCATTGCTTGCATTTGTTGGGGAGTTAACGATGCTAATAGTTCAGGTGTTAGCATTGGCAAAGAACCCACACGTTGGTTTTGGCTTTGTTGTGGTTGTGGTTGTGGTTGTGATTGTGATTGTGATTGTGATTGTTGACCCATCTGATTAGGTTGTGGTCCTCTTGGCTGTATCTGTCCATTCATATTCGTACCAAACATTGGAACATCAGTCTGATGGTTTTCATTATTCATGATTGAATATATTTGTATGCATATATATATATATATATATGTATATATACAATAAAAAATTCACTGTAAATTAAGTATTCAGTAGTTTCTTAAGTTGTCTGTTGTGATTATAAACTTTTTTTTTTTCCCAAAACTAACAAACTTAGTTTGAGAGAGAGAGAGAGAGAGAGAGAGAACCAAAGGTGAAGTAAAAAAAAAAAAAAAAAAATTAAATAAATTAAACTTAAAGAGAATTTTATTGTTTTATTGTTTATTGTTTTTTGAACATAGGTACACGCCCTGTTCTTACCTTATTTTAAAAACTAAGTAGTTAGTGGTTAGACCTAAAAGAACAGCCAAAACAAAAACCAAAATAAAATAACGCATTGAACAACCTCTCATTCTCACCTTGCTTCAATTCTTTCTGTAGAAGCTTTCACACCTTTTAACTTCACTTTCTATCAAAATACAAATACAAGAGTCTTATTTATAAAAGGTGTGGTTTGGTTTTTTCTCTTATTTCCATTTTTTAGCGCTTAGCTTTCGAATTGTATCACCTGACCTATGAAACAGTTGGGTTTTTTTTTTGGAGAACGGGACGTTAAAAGAAAGGATTCCAAGATATCCTTAGTCTGTATTTTATTGTCTGCCTTGTTCCTTTGTTCCTTTGTCCCTTCGTTCCTTAGTTCCTTAGTTCCTTAGTTTCTCCCCTTATTGTATAATATAATGCTATGATGCTCCCCACTAGAGTGATACCACGTCTACATTTCAAACGTTTTGCATTCCCAATTGGAAGATGTTCTTCAACACAATCCTCCCAACTCCGACCGAAAATTGCCCCCAAAAAGAGGATTGGTGCACAAAAGTTACGAAGAACTGATCCTGCCTTCCAAAATGAATCGACAAGTTACATCCTTTCGCTTTTGGACAAGAATAAGGAAACCCAAACTTCGAAAACATTGGAGAGTTATCTCTCGATCGTGACTTCGGTAACAGTTGGAGATGCAATCAATTTCGATAAGGTTGTTGAAGCAGTTGGTTCCGGATACAAATACGAGGTGGTGGTGCCCGACGAAGTGATTAATATTGAGGTTGCATCACGCAACCTAATGGTTCTATCCAATGGAACGTTGGTGGGCTGGAATTTTACTGAGGATGAAATTGTAAACAATATTTTGCCCAAAGTCGAAGGTGCAGTGGAGACGAAATTCAACGATTTTGAGAGTGAAGAGTTGGATTGGGTCGGTTTAAACAAATTGCCAAAAGAACCTTTGAACAATGGTAATAGTTATTTGCATGGGGAAATTTTAGTGATTCAAGGAGACAATCCTGGTAAAAGGCTACTAGATATGGCGGCATTTGCAATTGGGCTAAGTAGATCTACTAGACTATCGATCTTGGAGACCCAGTTGGATGAGTTTCTCACTTTTACTAGAAAAAACTCGGAAATTTTATCCAGTGGGAAACGAATCACCTCAACAGAACAAGAATTGTTACGAATTACCGGAAGATTATTTTTATTGAGAGGGAAATTGAATCTCTATTCGGAGCTTATTGAAACGCCCGACTTGTATTGGAGTGAGCCGGTGTTGGAAAAGATTTACAATAGTGTTTCTAAAATACTCGACATAAACTCGAGAATCTCAATCATGAATAGGAAATTGGACTATGCAACCGAGGAACAACGAGCATTTCTTAGTGTTTTGAATGAAAAGAAATCAACCAGATTAGAATGGATTATTATATTGTTGATCATGGTTGAAGTGGTGTTTGAGATTCATCATTTTTATGAAAAGTATGAGGATAAAAAAGAGAGAGAGATAGAGAGACAGGGTCAAGGTCAAGGTCAAGGTCAAAGGAAGGTGATAGATGATTTAGCATAGTTTATATTTTAACACTTGTCAATAGAAGTTACTAAATGTTATTTTTGTAGATTTGTTTTAATTTACTTTACTGTTTTATTTTTATTTTTTATTTTTTATTTTTGACACAATTTTTGATAAAAACGGAGCCATTTCAAATAATGGCAACTGAAATTTTTCTTCTTCTCCACTCTACTCTACTTTGCTTTATTAATTAAATTTGTTGTCATATCCATTTTGAATAACCCATGACTGCAAACAACTCCCCATACTACGAAGCATTGCCAACCAATTTGAAACCAATACATTATGATGTGTCTGTGACTGACATTGACTTAAACAATGATACATTTAAAGGCACTGTTGAAATTCAATTAGATGTTGTTGAGCCAACCAATGAATTGTATTTGAACTACCGAGATATTTCTGTGTCACAGGAGAACGTCGAGGTCACCTATAATGACAAAAAGGTATCAATTGAGTCGCTCACGGAGTACAAGAAGAAAGAATACTTTGTTGTCAAGTTGGCTACAAAATTGGAGACGGGTCAAGTTGTTGTCAAGATCAATTACGATGCCATTGTTCAGACAAATATGGCAGGTTTCTACAAATCAACTTATTTGGAAAATGGAGTCCAAAAGACTATGTTGAGTACTCAATTCGAAGCAACCGATGCCAGAAGAGCATTGCCATGTTTAGACGAACCACTTTTGAAAGCAACATTTAGAGTCAAAATCACTGCCAGTTCAGAATGGACGATTCTTAGTAACACGCCGATTCAATCTAAAACCGATGCTTCTAATGGATTGCAGACTGTGGAGTTTGAAAAAACACCCATCATGTCAACATACTTGTTAGCGTGGGCATGTGGCGATTTCGAGTACGTTGAAAGTTTCACCAACGATGAATACAATGGAAAGCCGTTACCAGTTAGAATATACACTACCAAGGGGTACATTCATGAGGCTAAATTAGCCTCTGAAATCACCCCCAAGATTGTTGATTACTTTTCAAAAGTTTTCCAAATCAAATATCCCTTGGCCAAATTGGACCTTATTGCTGTACACTCGTTTTCACATAATGCTATGGAGAATTGGGGTCTTGTCACTTATAGATCAACGGCTTTGTTGTTCAACGAGGAGAAGTCTGACCCTTCTTATAAACAAAAGGTAGCATATGTTATTGCGCATGAGCTTGCTCATCAATGGTTTGGTAACTTGGTAACAATGAAGTGGTGGGATGAATTATGGTTAAATGAAGGATTTGCCACTTGGGTAGGATTTTTGGCCGTTGACTATCTTTACCCAGAATGGAACATTTTCAGTGAATTTGTTAGTGAATCGTTGCAAAACGCGTTGGAGTTGGATGGATTAAGAAACTCGCATCCTATTGAAGTACCAGTTATTGATGCATTAGATATCGATCAAGTTTTTGATGCAATTAGTTATTTGAAAGGTGCTTCAACCATCTTGATGATTTCCAAGTATTTGGGAACTGAGTTATTCCTCAAGGGTGTTTCGTTATATTTGAGCAAGAATAAGTACGGAAATGCCACTAGCCATGACTTGTGGGGAAGTGTTGGTGAAGTAAGTGGGAAACCAATTGACAAGTTAATGAATACTTGGATTAAAAAAGTTGGATTCCCCATTGTCAATGTTGAAGCAAAGGAGCTGGCATTGGCACTTTCTCAATCAAGATTCTTGAATGGTGGTGATGTGAAGCCTGATGATGATGAATCAGTATGGTGGATTCCATTGAATGCCAAGTCAGATACTCCTATTGCCCTTGATTCCTTTGATGAGAAGAACGTAATCATTGATAACACCACCTTAAAGGATGGAAAATTCATTATCAACCTGGGTACGTCAGCCTTTTACAGAGTCAATTACTCGGATGAGATTTTGACCCATAATGTTATTGCCCATTTTGATTCATTATCAACCACCGATAAAGTGGGAATTATTGCTGATTCAGCAGCCCTTGCATGCGCAGGAAACAACTCTACTAAAAACTTTCTTAAACTAGTTGAGCAGATTGTGCCAAAGTTGGGTGATGATTTTGTCGTTTGGTTAGAATTGGGCAAAAAATTGGGTCAATTCACCATTGTATTTGCTACTGACGGTTTATCACCAAAGATTAATGAATTTTTGAAACTGGTTTATTCAGCAAAAGCTATTTCTATTATCGAATCGTTAAAGTCTTCCTCGAGGGAAGCTCAAACTTCTGATTTCACCCAAACTAAATTCAGATCGGAGATTTTAAACAGAGCAGGCAAGTTGCAAATCCCACAAGTTTATGATTATGCATTGTCATTATTCAACAGTAACAAACCTATCCAGCCATGGTTGCGTTTATTTGTTTACTCAACCATTGCCTCGTCTCCCAACTTCACCAGCGAGCAATTCAAGAAAATCCTCACCTTCGTTACTGAACCAGATTCATTAGATTCTCGTGAAGTAGCATTGACAGCACTTGGATCAGTCACCAATCCAGCAGTAGCATCAGAGTTGATTCTGTTGTTGGTTGAACCAGAGACTATTCCAACAATGGATGCTCATTTCTTGGGCCAGAAGTTGAGTGCCAATAGTGCCACGAGAGATGAATTCCTCAAGTTCTTTTTAGACCAATATGATGCAAGTTTCTACAAGATTATGTCGACAAATATGGTGGTTTTGGACCGATTTGTCAAGTTAACATTGAAGAATTTCCAAAGTTTGGATAAATTGACCAAGATTGATGACTTTTTCAAGACACGTGATGTGCATGGATTTGAACGGGCATTGAAACAATCGTTGGATTATATTAGAATAAATGCAAATTGGTATGCTAGAGATCATGATGAAGTGAAGTCGTTTTTGGACAAGTATTGAGAGTTATGTTTTGCGAGAGAGAGAGAGAGAGAGCTCTGATTCGGTGAACCTCCCTTTCTTTCCTTTTCCATTTTCTTTTTGTTGTTCTTTTTGTTTTTTTTTTTTATTTTTTTTTTGAAAATATATACGTAAATATATACAATATTAAACAATTAATGTTAATGCAGATTCCACCAACTCTTCTTATTTCTATTTACTTAGTTCTTGTTGTCAACCTTGTGGTCGTGGGTTGAGGCGTATCTTCCTGAGGGATCGGAATGACAACCCCACTCAGCCTTTGGTACCCATCTCATAACAGTTGAAGCAGCAGCTTTAGAGTTGTTAAACATCTTGTCAAACTTGCATCTATACCAGTAAGCTTCTTTAGTTTGTGGAATATCGTCACCCCATTCAGGTTTAGGGTTTTTCAAGTCTTCGTCGCTGACTACTTTTTCAGCAGTGTCTTTCAAACAATCAATCCATGAGTAACCAACTCCATCGGAAAATTGTTCCTTTTGTCTCCACAAGATTTCATCAGGCAAATATGGGGTTTCCTTGGTATCAAAGGCCTTCCTCAAAATGTATTTTTCAATGTGATCTTTGGTAATAAGTTTGTCTTCTGGGTTAACATTCATACAAACTTCCAAAAATTGTTTATCCAAGAATGGAACTCTGGCTTCCAAACCCCAAGCCATGGTTGATTTGTTAGCTCTAAGACAATCTGCGTAATGCAAGTTCTTAACTCTTTTAACACATTCTTCGTGGAAACTTGCTGCGTTTGGTGCGTTGGCGAAATACAAGTAACCACCAAAGATTTCATCTGATCCTTCACCAGACAAAACCATCTTGATTCCTTGAGCCTTGATTTTTCTTGACAACAAGTACATTGGAGTCGATGCTCTAATGGTGGTCACATCATAAGTCTCCAAATGGTAGATGACATCATCAAGGGCATCTATACCTTCCTCCAAAGTGAAGGTGTGTGAGTGGTGAATGGTACCAATGTATTGGGCAACTTTTTCAGCAGCAACCAAATCTGGTGCACCAGGTAAACCAATAGCAAATGAATGCAATTGGTTAACACCAACTGAAGAGTGCAACTCACCAGAAAGATCAACACCCGATAATTCCTTGTTGGCATCAATACCGTGGTCATGAGTCTTGACAGCTTCAGAATAAGCTTTCTTGGTTTCTCTAGCAGCAATAGAAGCAATCAAACTTGAATCCAAACCCCCCGACAACAATACACCGTAAGGAACTTCAGCCATCAATCTCTTTCTTACTGCCAATTCCAAAGTTTCCCTAATCTTGGTATAGTCAACGGGAGTAGTTGGAATCTTTGATCCATCCCACCATGAAGGTTCAAAGTATCTAACAATCTTGTCGGTGTTTGAATCATAAATGTGTCCTGGTGGGAATGCTTCAATTTGGTCACATTCTTCCACAAGACATTTCAACTCAGAGGCGAAAAATCTCGTTTCGGGTGATTTGGACGATTTTCCCAAATACAAAGTAGTAATACCAATAGGATCTCTAGCAGCAACAATTCTATCGGTTTTCTTATCATGTAAAACCCAACCAAACATACCATCCAAATATTTTGGAGCGTCAATATCGTACTTTTCGAAAAGAGGAATAATAGGTTCACAATCACTCAAACTCTTGTACTGGTAATCAGGAAACTGTTGTCTCAATTGAATATGGTTATAGATCTCTCCATTGACAGCCAATACATATCTTTCATCAGGAGATACAATTGGTTGGGCACCAGAGTCTAAACCAACAATGGCCAATCTTTCATGACACAAGATGGTGTTGTTGTTGGCGGTAACGTTACCTGACCAATCTGGACCTCTGTGTCTTATTAGTTTGGAGTATTGCAATGCTTTAGGCTTGAACTCCTCAACGTCCTTGCATCGGTAACAGGCGAAAATTCCACACATATTTCTTTAACGACAGCTAGTTAGTTCTGTTTCTTGTTATTTGTATTTTTCTTTTCTTTTCTCTTCTTTTCTTTTCAAAAAAAAAAAACGGCAATAGCTCCTTCTCCTGGTTTAGTTGTAGTTTTATCTAAAACAAATAGTATTGTTGGTAAAAGATAAACAGAACTATAGTAGATGTATTTGAAAGATGAGTTAAATTTTCTTCCCTGTGGATTTTTTTTTTGGATCTTTTTTCTTTTATAAAAAAAGAATTGAAAAAATTTTGGTTCAATTTTGGTGACTCTTTTTTTCAATTCCTTTTTTTGTGTTACCTTCTGTCTCTCAGTCTTTCTCTTTATTGGTGCATATGAGTATCTATTACTATTTAAAACAATTGGATTTGAGTCATACAGCTACTATTACTACTATTACTACTATCACTACTATCACTACTATCACTACTATCACTACTATCACTACTATCACTACTATTACTACTATTACTACTATTACTACTATTACAGCAAGAATTGGATTATACATAGCAAACAGACACGCTCAGAAAAAAAAAAAAAAAGACAGCTAACCAACCAACTGAACAGCAAATGCAAAATTGAAAATTGACTCATTTGTGCATATAGTAAAATTATCTTGTCATCAGTGGGACATTGCACAAACTCATTTCAAATCACTGTAGATCTTTCTAGAAGACATAGTAAACTATCAGATCCCCAATCATACAACAGACAAAGGCTCGTTGTGATGATACTAACAGGCAAAGACAAAGACAAAGACAAAGACAAAGCAACACTCGCTTCACCTTGCAAACTATTTTCCTTAACAATTTATATTAAACAAATAACTTAATCAAACTAAAAACTACTCCTATCTAATATACCTAATATATATCAACAACACTCCCCCACCCATCCCCCACTCTTTCTCTTTCTGTCCCTTTACAACTTAAATCCTTGATTTCTTCTGATTTGACCCGGGTCACGTTCAAAATTCTTATCAGTGATATCAATAATATAGCTAATATTAACATCATCAGTCAACAAACTCTTGTCTCCATTACTCAATTTCAACAATTGCATCAAAAACTGATTCAAAATATCAAGATCTCTTGGATTCAAAATTTGAACAAATGCCTTGGTCTTGGCTTTATTCTTGAAGATTTGAAGTAATTGTAAATTATTCAAATAATACAAATCACTAACCAAGTATTGTTTATTAATCGATTCAAGTGATTTGAAACGGGCTTTTTTCCTCAGCTGATCAATGATATATTTAAGCAACCCCTTTGTTGTCGGGTACTTCAACTCTTCATCGTCCAAGATGATTTTCGCATGCGTTTGTTGACGTTTGGCACGAGCATAATTGTTGGCCAAATTGGAGGTCATTTCCAAAATATTGGTAATCAATACAATATATGATTCAATAAAAGGCTGGGCCAAAATGGCAAACGTTTTAACATATTCGCGATCTTCAATCTTGTAATATGGTAATTCAGGGCCATCGACTTCTTCCAGTGATGACGATGATGATGTGTTGGAGGAAGAAATGATTGATTCAGAAGCAGCAGTGATTCTTCTTTGAGGTTCAACTCTACTAATAACTCCCAAAGAAACCAAGTCATCAAGAATGAAATTCAACGAATTTCTTGGATTTTCATCATAATCAAATAAAAACTCATTCTTCAATAAACTGGTAACAATGTAAAACAACTTACCCAAAATTCTTCGATTAGAATTGTAATCTCCGTCAAGTAATAACAAAAGATACAAAGCAATACATCTTTGAATAATTAAATGAATAGTCAAGTTCTTATAATACAACAATTCAATAGGCGATTCGATCTTGATTAAATTCTTTTTCTCATTAACTTTAATAAATCGGAAAAATGAAACAATGCAATATTTGATGACTGATGCAAGTTCATCGTTACTAGCATCCAACATATCTTGCAAGATAATCTTGTTTGTGACTGATGATTCATTTTCTCGCAACAACATCTTCAACACCAATTTCAATGTTGGAATCATTTCATCAGTAGTGAAGACAGTCTTGCCACTACAATCAGTATAAGCTTGCAATGCAGTACCAATGATTGAAACTTCAGGAATGAATGCAATTCGGTTCACTTCGTGTAAAATCTTGAACCCCAATTTCTTTAAATTGACATCTTTCTCATTGTTGATGGATTCATCATTGCCAATAAATTCACTCAAGGTGAAATTTTGACCCAACTTGACAAAAATCTTACCCGTTAAATTACGAGTTGAATTATCATTGAAACCCTGTTTATCATAAATCAATTGATCCTTTTTGGGGAAAAACGCCAGACCAGCAATGGAAACAATTCCCAAAAAGCTTTCTTGAGTCTTGTCGTCTCCTTTCAACTCTTTTAAAAATGAATCATTTTCGTAAATACGTTCATAAGTAACACCAAGTGGTTGGAACAACATATCAAAATGGACATTGCGGTCTTCATTGCGTTGTTTCAAATAAATCGACACCAATGACTTCAAAATTCCATACTTGGGTAACAACAACTTCCCATCTCTTGATCTAGTACCTTCAATAAATACTTCAAAGGGGGTCTTGTTGACCAACAAAAACTCAATGACATTGTTTAAATTACGTTCAGTGTACAATTCGTTATTGAATGAACGAGGGATGAAGATGGCTCCCAATTTTTTCAAAAGATTACCAACAATGGTGACATTTAAATTCTCACCAGCAATGACGGATGGAGTAGCAATGTTGAATCTAATTGACAATAAATGGATAATGACATAATCCAAATGCGATTGATGTGATGGTGACCAAATAATAGACATGGGATTTTCAATATACTTTTGAAATAAATTCGACATTTCTTGATTAGAAACCCAAATTCCCTTGGGAAACAATTTTTGCATAATAGTCATGACAGTGACATACGCACTCCTAATGAATTGGTGAGATGCAAAAGTAGGTAAATTGATTTCATTCTGGGTCTTGTAATACTTGATCATATAGTCTTTAACTTCCTTAAACCTTGATTTGAATTCAGACGCCTTGATCAACTTCATATTCAACTCCTGATTAATCAAGTTGTAAACAATCTCGTCCAATTTAGGATCATCTTTTTCCAATTTGCCATCCATATAATTCTTGAACTTCTTCTTGAATGAATCATCGTGTTTATTCATAAAGTACTTGTATTCAATATTGTTATAAATCTTGTCGTAATTCTCGCCTCCCGAAAAGAAACGAAGAGCTGAATGTAACAAGTTGAATGATTGACTTAACGTTTTGACATTGTCAGGACTATCAATATAAGTTTCTTTATCAATGGGTAATGGGAATTTCATATCAACCCTTGGGTCAACAATTGGGTCTTCAAGAATATTGACATCGAAATCCGAGTTGGAGATATCTTCTTTGCCACTAACTGTCATCTTTTGATGTGGAGGTGGATTTATGCAGTGTAACTGTTGTTTCTGGTGGTAAATGCTAATGAAAGAAAGTGAATTTGCTGAAAACTTGTGGTTTTTATAAAATAAAATAAACGCCAGTAAAATTTAAAGTATTTTTTTGCTTTATTTTGTGGATCGTTTTTTTTTTCACTTTCTTTCTCTTTGTTTTAAATTTTAGTTGGGCAAATTTATCACCTTTTTGCTTAAAAGTACTTTTAATAATACCCTCTCGATTCACAAAAACACAAAAAGTTGAAATTGAAGATGTCAATTGAACAATAGGGGGGAAATTGTGTGAGTGTGTGTTTAGGATGAGAAAATATGGTATAATAGAAAAAGAAACTATGATTCAGCCCAGTTGTCGATATTTGTCGATTGGTCTTTATTCAAAGTGACAAGGGGGTGGACGGGAATGTGTAAACGTTTTATAAAAAATGATGCCTGTGTGTATGTAGTTGTGGTTATGGTTATGGTTATGGTTATGGTTATGGTTATGGTTATATATATATATATATATATCGTTTCCTCTTTGAAAGCAATTTAAATATTTGGGGAGTGTGAAAAAAGGTGGGGTACTTGTGGAGATACGCCTTTTTGTTCTCTTTTTTAAGATTTAATTTATGCACTTTTTATCTGGTTTAACCCCTATGGATGCAATGGTGAGCTAAATATATACCTTGTTGTATGTAAATGTGAACCAAGCAGGACCAAAACTGTGGTTTTCTTATTGAAATAAAGTAGAGCTGATGTCTCAGTTGTTTTCTTCTATTTTGCGCAGTTGGCTTATACAAAAAGAAAAGCAAATGATACCTTTTTTCGCAATGGACAGGGGAAGAGGAAAGTAGGAAATCCTTTACCTTTTATATAGAGATAGTGAGGTGCGTACTTGGCCTCCTGTTGTTGATGTGATTGTGGTTGTTTGACTTGTGATATTTGTTGATAACATATATACTAATAGATATACATATATATATATATATGTATGTATATGTATGTATATGATTACCTAATTTGGCTTATTATTATTGACACAATATTCTTAATTCCGCGGTCAATGGGACCCTCCCGCCTTTTGTTTCCCCCCTTTGTTTTGAAGTATTCAAGAGTAAAAAAGGTAGAGAGTACCAAATGCCCCTCCTCCTCCTCATCTTCTTCTATCCCGAATTGTCCCGAGGGGCACACTGCTTGAAATACAACAAAAAAACAGCCTAAATTCTTTTTATGTATATATGCATATACTCTTTAAAGAGAATGTCACAGTGGATTGAAAGGATTTTTCCTTTCTACCCTTCATCAGTTGATTGAATGAATGAAAATTTTATAAATTACACAAATTTGAAATACAACAAACCAAAAAAAGATCAATTGTTTTACCCAACAAAAAAAATAAAAAAATATAAAACTTTACAAAATAAAAACCAACCACCATCAAAAAAGATTTTCAATGAATGAATGAATGAAAAATTGGCGGAATTAAGACAACAAGAAAAATTGGGATGGATGGATGGATGGATGGATGGATGGATGGATGAAGATATTGAAACAAAAACAGAACTACTTTTCTTTCGTTTTTGAGTCCTGTGTAGATCCTGAGGTTTTTATGACACTAATTGAAGAGAGAAATGCGTTTAATTCTGCTGTATTTCCTAATCAGGTAATACTTACCAAATATAGAGTACAAAGTAAACAAAACTGAGACATGAGAAGCCATACACACACACACATGTTGTAATCTCAGTCGTACTGTATTCACAAGATAAGATCATTTACAATGCACCAAATGCAAAAAATTCATTCGCCATAAACAAAAGATAAATAAAGATAGAGAGATACTAACATTTGTGGCTTATATATATCTATATATATCCTATTGTCTCATCATTTGTCCCACTGTTGCGAAAATCGCACTTTCTTATTTTAATTTTAAAGTTTTAAAAGAAGCGAAAAACATACATAAACCTCGGTATAAACCATCCACAAACCAACTAACCAACTTAACAACATTCAAACTAATTCCCTCTAAATAAGATGTAATGGACAAAAGGAAACTTAATCTATCGCTAAACGTTAACCAATAGATAATCGCTAAAACAAGGTACATGTAGTAGCTCTAGTCTATGCTCCTCTACACTCCATTAGATTGTGATCAATAACCTCGATAAGAACCACCATCACTGCCACATGGCTTTTTCTCTCTCCTCCCCTTTTTACCCACCTCCTTCTTCACCAGTATCATAACCACATGTTTACATATAACTAACCATCAATTCCCTAATAAGGTCATCTTGCATATACGGCGTATACACCGTAGACTAAAAAAAAAAAAAAAAGTAAGGAAAATAGAGCCCCATCAGAGCACAACCTCATTTCACATACATCATCACAGGATATACACACGTGAAAAACACAATAACCAGTTTTGCGCCGCGCAATATTCAATTTTTATACCAAAGAGAAGAAAAAAACCCACCCCAATAACTGATTAAAATGTCAGGGAATCCTTCTTTATCATCCCAACTTCAATGATCAACCCTCTAAATTCTTGTCCTACAGCAAAATTCAATCTTTTTAACTAATTCTCCAGAATATTAAATCAAAATTAACAAAATTATAAATATACAAAAACACAAAACATACTTCAAAAACGAATTAAATATAAAACTGAAATAATAGTCCCTCCTTCATCTTCATCATCGTCATCATTGTCCAACCTGTGTTCAATCAACCGGTTCTGTCTTTACTGTAACCTGCTTCTTATTCTTCATTACCCATTTCCATTCCTCTTCATCATCCTCTTCTTCCACTTCTTCATTATCCTTACCAAACTCCTCCTCATTTTCACTTTGCACCAAATAATTACCACCAACTTCTCCTTCTTCTTCTTCATCTTCATCACTACCACTACCACTAACGACTTTCTTGACACTCCTACCATCAACAATCAATTGTCTCAACTTCTCCTTATAAACAACAGTACCTTGACACAATCCCGTTTCAATATGTTGTGTCAACCATTGATTATTGTTTTCAAAAAATTGAAAACATCCAGCACATCGTCCACTCAACAAGTTACGTTCATTGGACTTGGTTCCTGGTGGGTAAATGAAATGTAATGCCTTTAAATGGGTCTTGAATGTATCACGACGACTGAAGCCTCCAGTGGGGTGACATTTCGTTCCCAATGATACTGATAATGGTGATGATGCTGATGCTGGTGGTGCACTTGCTCCTGCTGCTGTTGCAGATGATCCTGCCAGCGATTCTTGGAAAAAAGGACAATGAAATGCTTTTGATGAACTGTGTTTTTTCAAATGACGAGTTAAATATCCCTTGACTTTGAATTCTGAATTACAGTGAGGACACTCAAATGTATGACCTATTTTCCCGTCTTTGCCAGCATAGCTCAACTTGCGAACAGTAGTGTTGATGGTCTTAGTTGTTGTGGTTATAATCACTGGCTCATCAGTGATGTCATGTTTGGCATCTTTATTGTTGTCATCCTCCACGTTCACATCAACACCCTCATCATCATAAGTTGGATTCTTGTCCTTGTTGATCTTTTTACTCTTTTTCGGTTTATGTTTGAATTCACTAGTGTCCCGTTTCAATGGCTTTTTCATCAAAGTGTCAGTTGGGGACAATGGTATATCCGAATCAAAACTAGATATCGATGGAGAAGTCACTGATATTCCCGACGATGATAGTTTTCTCTTTCTGTTGGTTATTACCGACTCGTCAACTTGTCTAGCACCAAATCTGACATTAGTAGGTAATTTAAAGCTTTCATGGTACTGATGTCTCTGCTGTTGGTGATGGTGTTGCTGTTGCTGTTGCTGTTGCTGCTGTGGTGGTGGTGGTGGTGGTGGTAAATGGTTGTGGTGATGTCTAGTGTGGTAATGATCATTATAATATTGTGAGTTGCGAAATTCTCCAACTGAATTTGAATGTACCCGCACATTTACAGGCACATGTGACTGAAATCGTGAGTGTGAGTGTGAGTGTGAGTGTGGCAATGATATTGAATGTGAATATGGGCGTGACAAAGCAGAATCTCTCAGTGCTAATGAGGACTCTACTTCAGATGCATATGCCTCTAGGTTATTCTCATCATCATTGTCAGTGGTTTGATGGTAACTATATTCAAACTGGTAGTTCACACCGTAACCTTCGCTTACAACAACTCCACTTGGCGGTGATTGACGATGTATTCTGCTAAATATTTCATCGTCTAATGGACTGAGGAAGCTCTCTGTCGACGAAACAGACGAAGAAATCAAAGCATTTTCAACTGACGATGGATGACGATATTGGATCGCATTGATGCTGGCACTTTCACTTGTTCTTCTGACTGGTTTACCGTTGATAAGATGTCTGGGGGATCCTTTACCTTGATCTTTGATCATTGATTTAGTAGGTGATGGGTTTTGGTGCTTAAAGTCATCAAAGTATGGGTAATAATCAAACCTATCCTGACCAACTTCATAGTCACCATAGTACTTTTCATTCCTAGACAATGAGGCAGGCGATTGGTTGTCAAGCACGGCTCTAGGTGCTAAGGAAGCAAATGTATTTTTATTTGATTCCTTACCAGCTTCTTTGTCATTGAATGGGTTCCAGTTGAAGGTATTGTCAATGTTGGCATTGTTGTTGTTGTTGTCGTTGTTGCTAGTATAGTGATGTTGATGAGCTTCAAGGAAGTCATCAAATATGGGTAAGTCATTGGTAAGTGACGACGATTGAGCAATCTGAGCCTGTTTTGAAACTCTTTGTGATTTTTGAGAATCAGAATGGTACTTATTTTGTATTTGTAGTGGTTGTTGAACACGGTTAGCTTCCTGAGTGACCTTGTGTTGTTGCTGCTCCTTTTCTTGTTGTTTCTGCTGTTGAAATACAGGAGTGTTTCTTTCTTCTTCAAATCCCCCTTTTTCATGAAAACTGGAATCAGGATATCCCATATTATGTCCATGGCAATACTGCGGGTGTATATGGTGTAAATCATCAATTGCCGAGTCAAAAATTGTAATCTGATCACCACCATCAAACATTAAATCCAAATCATCAACAGCACAATTAATAGGGAAGTTTGATTTACCTTGATGATTATAATTGGTTGTTGTTGTTGTTGGTAAAGGTAATGATGCTCCATCTAATTCATGTGATTTCTTGTATTCAGCGATGGGTTTGGTATTATTAAAATTGGCAATTTTGGTAATTGGTGGAAATAATTCTTGATATCTGCGAGTGCCATAAATTAATCGATTAATGAATTTGCAAACATTAAATTGGATGGATAATAATCTAGGAGATGTGAATGGTTGATAAATGGTTTGAGTTGGAGAAGAAGTGATTGTAGCCGTTCTTGAAGCAATGGTGTAAACTTGTTTTGCTCGAGTGCTCACAACCCCACTAGGTGAAGATGATACAAGATCTTCATATTTAGAATCAAATAATAAACCAAGGGATACTATAAACATTTTTGATAAACCTTGTTGTGCTTTTATGTGTTGCTATTGGTTGTAGTTGTTGTTGGTTGAGTTTTGTTCTTAAAAGCTCTTTAAATGTGAAGTTGGATGAAATGTAAAGTCCATTAAAAAATTAATATAGTGTTATTAGTGTACCCTTTTGATATCTAAGCTATGTATGCGTCACAGTGTGAAGTGTGAAGTCGTCTGGTGGAAAGCCAACTGTTGGAAATGTATATCTAAAGCCTTAGATAAAAGTGGAGATATATATATGTAATTAGATCCTTGGCCAGGCTTAAAATTCGGTTATGGTCGGTTGGGATTATGTTTGAGGACAAGGTTAAGTTGAATCTTTTGTTTCAAGTAATTATAATTTTTGTTTTGACTCGTGTGTTGTAGTTGTAGTTGTTGTTTAGTAAGATCGTTCGATACTTTGACTCCTTAACTATGGAAAAATAATAATAATAATAATAATAGTAACAACTAGAACTTAATATAGGAGGAAAATGTATCAGTGTATATCCCTTGACAGTCTACAACTATTATTAGCTCCTCTCTATCCCCTTCTCTTTAAGGTTTATTGAACGACAGAATTCGATATGTTGTCTGTTTCGTAAAATTGAAAACAAAAAATTTATATTGTTGTTGTTGTTGATGATATTTGCGGGGTGTTGAAATTATTTTTAGGACGCACTTTGAAATACTATTGATGTTATTTTTAGTATTAGTATTTTATTTTATTTTGTAGCAGGTGGTTTTTTGTGAGTGACTTGTCCTCTGTATAAATATGTAACAGGTTCTTTCTTTAGGTACTAACTAAACCAGCAAAGTTGTATATATATAGATTTCTTCCTTTAGTTTGTTTGAAATTGAAGAGGAAATGTTTGTTGTTTATAAAGACGAATGAAATTTTTAATTTTGACCAATGGAAAAATAAAAAACAATAAAATAGAAAAATAAGAAAATAAAAAAACAAAAAAATAAAAAAATAAAAAACAAATTAAATTAACTTATAGAAAGAACCACAATTTTTTGGAGATAAATGATACATATATCTTTTAAGATTTTAGATCACAGAGAAGGAGATATATTAAAGATACGTCTTTGTAAAGTTTACCTAACAGGAATTAAGCATTAAGAAAATAAGACAATCCAAATAAAAAACAATTAAGCGTTCGAAGTTAAATACAATAGAATACAAAATAAAAGTAAAAAGATAGGGATGTAAATTGCATGGATAGATTACTGATAAGATATTGATGTATGGATGTAATCTAAAATTAAAGAAGCAAAAGCGAAAGACGAAAGAGCATCAAAACAATAGGACCAAATAAACAATGACAGGCAGTAGAGTGTACTAAAATTATAACACATGGTGCATTGCAACAATTGGGCAATTAAAACACAATAAATAATAACAATAAGACTCGCAGCTAATTTGGAAGATAAGCAAAATGCCTCAATAAGTTTTCTTGAAACAATAGAAACCACAACCCTCACTACTAGCAAAAGGTATGCAGTTGCATCTACTGTAGAAACAGTAGTAAGAGTAGTAGTAGTAGTTGTAGTAGTAGTAGTTGTAGTAGTAGTAGTAGTATGTGTATCCCCAAATTAAATCAAAGAAGAATAAAATCACACCACAGACAAACAGACAACCTAAAAGACTGTTTCAGAAATAAGAGATAAGCAAAAACATACCACATGCCTGTCTGTCGGTCTGTCTGTCAAAGAAGCTAAACCTTCCTCGGTCTCCCCTCCTCTCTTGTAGAAGTTACTATAAATAAATAAATAAGAAGAAGAAGCGCATCTAATGACTCTCCCCCTCCCTTTAACAGAAGCGCAATATAGTGCACCATCTTCAAAAATAAAGTCACCCCCTCTCACTCTGCCTCTCTATACTCACCATACTCCTCTTCTTCTTCTGTTGATTTGCTGCCCCTGCTTGTTGTCTTAAATCCTGTTATCTTAATGCTCTCCTCTTTTTTTTCTTATTAGTGTTTCAAAGTTTAGTTTCTTTCAATTGGGAGATATATGTTTTATTGTTCATATTTTATTTTATTTGTGTAGTCAATTTAAAATTTAAATCAAATAAACTAGTTGTATTGCTTTTTTTTCTTTGTTTTTTGACAGGTTGCATATCAAACTTCTTTCTTATTACTATTGTTCTCTCGATTCACGCCTTCTGTTGCCAATTTTAGGTTTTTCTTTTACAAACGAAAAAAATGCCGTACGAGATATGCACTGTTGAACCCAAACACACACATATATACAATTAGAACATAACATATATTTCACAAACAGAGTAACTTAAGGCGAATAGAATTTTCTTTTTTTTTTCACAAACCACAAACCCACCACCACCACCACAGAAATCTTCATCATCATCATCATCATCAATGCCAAATAACTACTCATCACCCCACATCCACACTTTTTTGGGAATACTGACTCCACAGTTTCCTTTTTTTACTATTTCGCTTCTGTTTTCTTAAAGGTAATAGACGACAATGACAACAATGACTGCCATAACTGCCACAAAATCTACCACCACACAAACACCACTATATTTGACTTCTTTCAACAACACTGTTTACGAACTATGAGTTGTTAATGATTAACAGGTGTTTTCTTATTCCCTATTTTATTTTTTATGATTTCTCGTAATCCTACATATACATACTTAGATTGTCCCTTGTGCAATTGACTAACAAACCATCTCCAACTATTTTTCTTGTGGGTAATCCCTTTCTTTTCCCTTTGAATCATATTTTGTTACTAATTTTCTTTTTTCTTTTTTCTTTTTTCTTTTTTCTTTTTTCCTTTTTTCTTGTCAGGAACCAATATGAATGATGAAGAAGAGAAACGGGTTAGATGAGGAGATGTGATGGGTTTAGAGCAAGGTTAATTTTCCTTTATTCCAGATGAGAAAGAGTGACCATCGTAGTAATAGTCAACCATAGTCTTGCTTCTTCTTTTCTTTCTAACTCCAATCCAATTTGCGTTTTCTTACTGAATAACATACAATCTGTTGTATTTTGTTTTGTAAATTTCGTAAAATGCATTTCACATAGTTAAATAACTTGGCTTTCTTCCGTCAGAAAGCAACACAGGTTTGAAATTTGATAAGCTATGAAAGGACATTTTACCATTTTTTGTGTCCAGCAATCATCAATCACTCACTGAGAGAGAAAAGATGTCAAAACTAAAAAGATAAGAATACTCTGTTTCCCTCGGCAAGTCAGTTCCCTTTATGACCTCTGCCCGGGTTTTTCAAGAAATTTCGCCTATCTATTCCTTTTTCGATTTTTTTTTTTCTTATCTCTGTTCTGCTTACCATTTAATAATATGTTCATAACAATAATTTACCTTACAATGAGCGGTGTAATCGTAATGTCCTATCCTATATTAATCCCGATAGGCAACCAAAACATTACAAAGCATAAAGCAATAAGTACAATAAGAACGGAAAACGAATAAAAAAAATCCACTACTCCGTTAAATATTGGAAATGTTTGCTGTAGGCCTTTCTTTCAGGATATTATCCTGGTTTCAATGTCTTTTGCTACTGAGTCTGCTTTCTATATTATTGAATATAGCAGTTTCTACTCTATATCTCTTCCCTATTTTTTTTTTTAAATCTATGTACTTCTTCCTTTGGGAGCAAAATAAATATTTTAAAACCTTTTTTTACCATGAAAATGTTGCAAAAAAGAGAAAAACAAATATTTTACGAAGTTCAAAAATTTAGCAAAATTGTATACAACTAAATGTCTTGACAAAGGGATAAAAATTGAAAGGAATAAGATATAATATGATTCAGCAGCCACGGGTATACCACTGCGGTTGATATCTATTCCGAAATTAATGTTTTAAACACTATCAAAAGTGGAAAAAAAATGATTCTGCCCAGGATCGAACTGGGGACGTTATGCGTGTTAAGCATATGCCATAACCAACTAGACCACAGAACCATTTGTTGAAATATTTTACCCTAGGAAATTCAGACCACATAAGTTTTGGGCACGCTTAAGACTTTTTTTGTTGTTATATTGTTCTAGAACATATACAGAATCAACAACCCACAGTTAATAATGAAGTATATAACCAAGTGGATAAATAGTATTTCCTCGGAAAAATACTTCCTAACGGCAAATACAAAGTTCATTAATACTTTGTGCATGTTTCACCACGGATGTAAATATCAGGATGACAAAATACAGCTTAAAGTATTCTCAAGCTCATCTCATCGTGATATGAGATCTGGAATATTATAAATATGACAGGCTTTGTTCAAAAAGAAGTCAAAAAATACACATGGAGGTTTTATCGTACAATAATTTTACGAATTTTTCAAAGTATAATTTTCATTAATACAACCCCAGAAGTCTAACCAGTCTATCCATACTGATTTGAAACACTTGAATATTCTCGATACTCATTATAGTTGTAAAAGTTGGACAAGAACCTTTTAAATGCAGCTACTTTGAGTTTGTAAATAATGAAGTGACACATATTCAGATGTAGTTTCTAGCAATAGACCAAAAAAGTAAACAGTACATCTTAAAGCATCTTCAGTCATATCACATGATTACTTAATATTCAAGGTCATGATTAGTACTATATTGCAACTATAGCAAATATGCATACCTACACATGCTTTGAAACCTCTTATGTTTACTAATGTTAACCAAGCCAAGATAAATAATTTACCAAGACAGTTCCCCGCTGGAACCGAAGTTGTACCCTCAAAATAAGCATATACCAAATGAATTAGCAAGGCATGGTCCACTGTTGACCTGCCTCTTGTGTCAATCACTGTGCATATGCAAATTATGAGACTGAGTCTCTGTGCGTGTTTTTTTGCACAATAATTTTCTCTGGTTGCAAAAATGTTTCCTTTGACTTGCATATTAAATGCTCACATAACGAGGTTGCAACTTCGTTTACTAGGTGAATAGAGTTTATAGTAGATGAGATATCCTCATTCAGCGTGTGTTTAATACTGAAATTAACTCTACTAAGCATACTCTCAATGTTGGAATAAATAAAGGGATCAAAATTAACTCTCATTTACTTTTGTTGTGGTATACAAATTTCTCCTCTTTTGTTAAAGAAAGTTGCAAAACTTTGATATTCTTTCTTGCTTTAAAAATACTATAAATTCTCCCAACACAACTCAAAAAATTACAAAGAACCACTTACTTTCCTTCTTGCTACCAATAAAAATTTTGTCACTACCAAATGTTTGAACAGCAACCAAGGATCGAAGAGAAATGATGAGGAGGGTGTGAAGGACGACGAGGATGTGATTGATGAAATTGACTTCTTGGAGAATATTGAAACCGATCTGGGGGCTGCTTGTTTGAATGTTTCCCTGTTCGTTTCCCCAATTGTTTCCCTGTTCGTTCTCCCCCTGTTTGATGCTTATTTGGATGCCAAAACAGATTAATCGTTGAGTAATTCAGGATTAGATGAAGATGTTTATCGAGAGATGAGAAGAGCAGATTGCAGAAAGACTGCAAGATCGCATTGGTACAAGAAGGGGGATCCAGACTCGAAAAATGCTACTTGTGTGATAAATTTAGGACCATTGGAATTTCTCCTTTTGCTAAAGTAGCAGACTCAGGTCATGCTTCTGTTGGTTTTGATTGTTTAAATTCTGAAGAAGAAAAGTGGCAACTTGGCAACCAAAAATTTGCCATAGTTTATGATTTTGAACACTACATCAATTTATGCCTTATTTGTAACTTGAGCGAAGTCATCATCAAGAGCTGTTTCCTTCTGCTATTTTATCTCCAATTCTTGTTCACGTTTTATCTGCTTTTGTATCAACCTGTCATTTATTTCATTATTGGCCCTTAAATACTCCTCGTCTTCCTTATTCTTCAACCTTTGAATTTCTTGCGAATCTATTAGCCCAGTCTCTAAGTTGAACCCTTCACTATCCATCTCACCATTCTCCCCACTTTCATCAGTTTGAGTTACTTTAACAAGTCCGTTTTGGCCCAAATGCTTAACAAATTAGGTCAAGCTTTTCCATTGAGTTACATTCATTTGCACATGATCACGTTGCCGAATATACTCTTGATAAAACCTATTGGCATTGATTGATTTGGTGCCGTGGTTCACGAGTAATAATAGGTTCAAAAAATCAGTCTGAAATTTATGGGAGTAAGAAGATACTATGCTGTTAGATTCTCCACTCGATTGCAAGTTGGATATTCGACCTAGATGAGACTTTGATTGTAGGAGGTTTTTAAATCCATTTGAATCTCGACATTGTTTTGAACATATTTGACAGTAATATTTTAGCTTTTGCAGTCCACTTGCTTTCAATGTCTTGGCTTCGTACTTAGAAGTGCCAATCTTAGCTCTAGCCATGAGGGGAAGTTGTGGTAATTTAAGTGATTATTGAATTGAATAGTACATCTACGGTGTAGTGAGTGTCGCGAAAGAAGGTTTTGCGTAGGCCAGCAAAGATTTTGCAAAGAATAGATCTGCAGATGATTCACACCTAATAACGTTTGAAGATGTAATACACTATTAAAACACTCATCAGTGAATATCTTTTTAAGCAAGTGCTGTACCGGTTTATCATATAGGCCAAATAAGAAATGCCCCACTTGCTTTAGCAGCGAACAACACCGTTGGGTTTATTATTGCCAGTATACTTAATAATTAATATTGGGAGGGTGTAGTAGGTTGAGATTGTGAATACGAGTTCACTAAAGCAGTTATAATAGACTCAAAAGAGTAAATTGTCTGACATCAAAAGTACTTGTTGCAAAGTAAGAGATGGGAAGTCTTTGATAAACTTAGAGGTTCTGATACAGTCAAACTTGAAAAGTAGAAATAACTGTCAGACCAATTGGGGGAATCATTTCCATTGAGATCAGAATTGACTAGAAGTGGAAGTTGAAGACTTTCCCTTGATTGCAAATGAATTGGGATAGAATGTAAAATAAAGAAAAACAGCAACACACTCCAGATTCTATTGCTGCATTCGGCTTTCCTAAATTGCATCTGGGGTTGACAGACACATACATATATATATATGCACACTTATCACGCTACAACTGTAACACCGCACAAACAAACACCAAAACATATCTTCCTCCAGTTATATTGTCAATGGTTTCAACAATTGATCTTCCGATCCATGCTCTAGAAGCCACATTTAGTGGGGCTACTCAGCAGCAGGCTTTAGCAGTGGCAACATGGCATTCCAAGTTTAGCCCCGCTATAAAGTCATGATTGTATAGCCATATACATGTATATAGAGAGGGAGGAAGACATACAAAAAAGGGTATCCGGTTTCAGTTTCATAAGAGTATCCACAACCCTAAAACCAGAAGATTCACCTTTATTTCTCATGCCAATTTGTAGAAAAATCTCCAATTGATGGATGCAAACCAAACTATTTATGTGTTTGAGATGTCACACTCTGCTTTTAACAACCTCGATAAAATCGCGACTCATTTGAAGCGAATTGAGCACTTTATGGTTGTTGGCAAAGTTTATGATGAGAATGATTTTAGGAAATTTCTGGACTATAGAGAGATCCATCCATACCGTTCATCATCATCAGATTGTAAGCATAGCAATGGGTGTTTGCAAGGTGGATGCAAAGTGAATCAGCAAACTGGCGTTTAAGAATTGTCAGGTTCAAAGTACCGTGTTTCACAACAGATCAACTCAATTGATTCCTTGAAGTCTCTTTTTCACAATTTGACAGAACAATTTATCTATTTGACAACTATACATATTAATTTTGAATCCCTTGTTTCTCATTTGCCGTTGAGGAGACAAATTAAGGGAGAAGCCATTGGTTTTAATCGTTGCAACACCCCCAAAATAGAAAGGTTGCTGTTGTCATTTCCCATCAATCAACGGCAGGCATTCAAAATCAATCAATTATTTAATACCCAATACATAAAAACATTGTCACTTATTGGACCTGTGAGATTTAAAGCCTTGGTTGCCAAAAGTAGGTTCCAATATTACTTTCCCAGTTTAGTTGAATTCAATTTGGATGCTTTTAATAATTCCGAACTTGAACATCAGTTGGACGATTTGCTTGCAATGAAACACCCTAGGCTGGAGAATTTTACTATTATGACGAAATTTGCTAATGTGCAAACGGCGGAAAAGATTGCTGGTTTGTTTTCATGTTATACCCAAAGAGTAGTATCAATTGGTGAGACAATACTGTTTTCGACCGGGTTCACAATCTACTACTTGAATACGCGAGCATGTTGAGCACAAAGTTGCCCTTTGGCATCATTGGGTTCCAGTGGAGGAAACTATACCAGCGTGTTTCTCATCAACAAATAAAACCTTTCTTGAAAGTGTCATTTTTCAAAACAAGTATTGTCAAGAACCAACGGAAAATCATTGTAAAATTGAAACAAAATTATCGAGTACCTGAATTTAAAACTTTTGAGGAGTGGTGATTTTGAGCATTAGACAATTAGGAGTTGCTTAGTGGGTTAATACATAGTTTTCTGTTTTATATAACCTGTTTATTGTGTTTTTTATAATAGTTCTTTGCTTATTTTTGCAGCCACCACTACCACCAAAATGGTCAGTGGATAGGAACGCAAGCAAAAATTAAATTATGGTATCCATTACAGATACAACTCAAGTAGTAACTGCCTCGTTTACAATAACTAAGATCTACACTATACCCTTTCAGGCTTTTCTTCAAATAAGTTGTCTTTATTCAACCACGTAACTGTTTATAATCCATAATCCATATATACACACACCCATATCCTTAAATCAAATCCCCAGACCAATAGAAAAACTCCTTTTGAAAACTCCACCATAAAAAAAGACAACAAAATCCTCCTCAGACAACTCTAATTATTGTTATACAAGTAAACTGCCGCAACAATCAAAATAATCACCAAAAGCATCATTGGATTCAAACCCGAACCCAATTGTGGATCATCCTTGGGATCTCCTAGTCATTTAGCATCACCTTGTTTTGGAGGGAATCCATTCAATTGAGCACCACTAGCGGATTCACATTTACACCATTCATCCTTGGGGTAGGCGCTCATGGCACTAGCGACGTGGCTTCCACAACCTCTCCATGTTTTACCTCCTATACTATTTGTTAGTACATTTGGTTATGGATACTACTGAGGATGGAAGGGGGAAATTGTAGCTTTTATTGGTTGGAACCTTTGACACAGTTATACTTCTTACATTCTCTCTCTTTAGTTATGTATACATACCACAAACTTGACAATCAGCTGACATACACATTATGATTGATTACTTTTTTGATTTAGCACTAGACTTGTTTGACTAAGAACCAGATGAGTATCGTTTTAATAAACTGAAGGCGAATTTTATAAAGAAATATTGTGTGACTCTATTTATATCCGTCAGCCGTTTTAATACAGAAAGTTTTTTTTTTTCTTTTTTTCTTCTTTTGACAGCATTCGGGTCACGCTTTGTCAGCAGAGCCGCTTTATTACCTATTTGGGATATTCTTATATTTTTTAGCGTCATATCTCTTGTTGATAGTTCCTTGGCATTGACGTAAACCTCCCTCCCACCATTACCCTGTGGTATTATTACTCGGATTCGCCAGTAATACCCAGAAGTCAATTGTTTTGCATTCTTCACGAATCTCTCAAACCCTTTGTGTTTTAAGCTAGCTTAGCTAAATAAATAAAACATTCTCAAACGTGTTCATCGTTTGTTCACCGTTACCACGGCAACAGTTTGCAGTAATTTGGGTTATGAGCCAAACAAAAAGTCGTAAAAAAATGAAGAGGGTACGGTTGATGCGGGATATGTGTCTTAGATTTAGGGTGGTGGTTTACAGATTACCCAATAGATATTGTTTCTGAGTCTAGAACTACAAACAATATCTATTGTATCAAAAATCGATAGTGCGCATTTGTTCTCGTAAATGAAACAGAGCAGTTATTTGCGAACCAAAACAACAAGCTATACATCGTAGAATCATTCGTCCGACTTTTCCTTTAGAACAAGGAGAAGGAGTACGTATACAATACATATACCTAGTATATTGTAACTGGGTGCACCTTAAAGTCATTCGTGTAAAACAAAATGGCAGAAAAAGATAAGGTAGTGTACTGATGCCCAATTTAAGGCACACGCCAAAAATAAACAAAATAAAACTAATAAAACGTAAACAGAAACAGAAACACAAACACAAACACAAACACAAACAGAACTAAACGAAGCATCATGTAGACTAAACATTTGCAGTAATACGTATTGTATAAGTATTTAAGCGTGCACTTCCATATGAAAGGGAATACAGGATAGAGTGTGTTTGTTCAAACAATACTAATAACCAATTGTTTCAACCGTATTGTTGTATTTTAATTAGCCATATCGCAGTTCCGTTCGTTCCTACCAGCAACAACAAACGCGTAATTTTTTTTTTTTTTCGCTTCTGTTTCTTAGAACAAGAAAACGAACAACAATAGCTAGCAACAAACACCAGTTGCACATGTAACTTTTGATAAATCTCGTGTAATCAGGCAAACATACACATACACACATGATATACAAAAGAGATGTATATATATAGACTTACATATTGTCGTAAAAGGTCTCTAAGATAAACGAAAGGAGGATTATATTTTTCCACTTCCCATATATACATCTTTAGTTTCAAAAGACTTACAACCACCCACCTCCTCCCTTCAACACTCAAACAGCTTCATTAGAGTAACCACCACCTCAGAAAATCATATACACACATTATATACACGTGAAATCACTTTCCATTTTGCTAGTTTTAGTACATTCCCCTTTTGTTTTTTTTTTTTCTTTATTTATTTTGCTGTTGTTTGTCCCCTTTATTTATCAAATTATTTTATTTTATTTTATTTAAAAGGTGTGTGTGTTTTACTTCCTGAATTGTTTTTTTATTTTAAAAATTTTTTTTTTCAATCAACCACAACTCAACTCAACTTTTACTTTTTACAGATCATACACATTATATTCATTTCATTCAGTTTACCAACTTATATTCCATTAGTTATCAAAGGTTGTTTTTTTCACTCAGAACCGCTATTCAACCCTAGTCACTCATTTAACTTTCATACACTTTTTCTTTTTTTAACTACAGTCACTCCTTTATCAACTTATAACTTACAACAGCAACAATAACTTACAATAACTTATAACAACTTACAGCAGTTACCGCAACAATAACTTACAACAGAAGCCTCCTTTTCACTTAAGATACCCAAGCTTCATACTTACATAATCACTATAACGTTTTATTTTCATTTATTCACTTCGTATAGCCAACTTCACCATGAGCTCATACACACTTGACCTTTCACAGGCTCTTCAACAACAACCACACGATCAAATTACTCCCAGCCAAGGCCCTTCCACCATTACTTCAACTACAGCAACAAACGAAGTGGAAGATATGTCATCGCAAGAACCAACAAAGAGAAGAAAGTTGCCAATCATTGTTGATGTGGCACTCGACTCTAATGGTAAACAATTGTACCAGATCCATGAATCTTCCAAATTGGTGAGAAAGGAGATGCCTCGTTCAACTAACTTCAATCTTCATCATGAACTAACTGCTGAGGAGCTCTCATTTATTCAAAATGGTGGGGACCCAGTAGCCACAAATGCCACTATTATCGGCAATGTTAGTAACCAACTAGGAGGAGGACTAGGTGGCAAGCAACAAGAAGATTACTATACTCACAGCAGTGAAGATCCCGATGTATCATTCTTCAATGAAGTAGGTGATGCAATTGGAGTCAATACGGATCTGACGACTCAAACAGGCACTGGTACTGGCACTGGCACTGGCACTGCACAGTCTCAAATTGATGCTAATCTTGGTCACGCAAATAAACTCAACCAGGAAGGGTTTTCTCGTGTGGAGGATACTGATATCTGGTCGGAGGATGTAGAGCAGGCATTTGAAGAAGTGTTGACTTTTATACCCAAGAATGGATTAAACAAAATCAAGATTGCTGGTCGATCTTGTGGAAGAAATGAGTTAATATCTGACTACATTTTCACCAAAACAGGGAAATTCAGAACAAGAAAACAAGTTTCTTCTCATATTCAAGTGCTTAAAAATCTAGGCCAAAATAAGAAGCTTATTGATTTGATTAATAATGGTCCCGTATTTGAAAATGATGAAGACCAAGCCAAGATTTTGAAGAAATTTGAAGCCGTGTTTTCCAAAATCAATCTTAGTAAATCATTAGGATTCAGTAATTCAATGAAGAGGAAACTGGTTGGCGTTAGCAGCTTTGGCAATATTGGTGGTAGTCAAGCTGCCAAATCAGTAACTATTCATCCTCCAGCTACCAAGAGAAGAAGAAAAAGTCACCCATCAGAAACAACTTTACCAGAGTTGGAAATTGGCAATTTTTACATGGCTATTAACAATTACAACTCCGAGTCAGTTCTTTTGACAATACAGAAAGACAGCTTCAACAAGTATGGTGTATTGAAACATTTGAAATTGAATGATAATGCTACAATTTCTCATCGATTCCCCGGCATGGCTGAATTTGAAAATTGCCCTCATATTCCTATATTGCATAACATGGCACGCATCTATTTACCTCATGATTTTTCACCTAAATTGTACGATGTGGGATCGGGTTTTAGTTCCAATTACAATTTGAAATGCAAGGACTATTCACCAGGATCATCGACCAAATTAAAATCAAAACAGTTCAGTATATTCACTTGCATTTACTCCTATGGTCAAGAGGTTTCCAAATTCAATCAAACTGACGTACACTTGAATCAAGAATGTCGATTCATCACTAATTTCTGGAAACCTTTTGTACGATTTGTCCTTATGGGCAAGCTGATTCCAGAAATAGCCACTGCATTGAGAGGACTTTCAATAAAACAAATTGTTTACGAATCAAATCACAACAATAACGAGTCTGCTGTGGTTCATGATGCAAATGAATTTATGGTTTTGAAATCAAAAGTCAACTTGGTTTTGCTTTGGGAATTTCTGCAAGTTTATGACGATCCAACGCAAGCTTTTACCACAACCACGAAAATTATTTTGCCGGGTGGTGTTAATAATGATCACTTAATTACTGCTGATGAAAATATTGTGCCACAAGTTGTCACTTATAATGACAACCATGTTGATGATTCGCATACGTATCCGGGTGATGATGAAGGTGTTGACTATGACGTTGCAGGCACTACAGAGGCAGAGTTGTCAGTGTCCTCTACCCGTGTGTACAAAGCGGGAAATATAACAGCAACAAGCATACCCACTCCTGGACATGAAAATCGAAACGATTTCACTGATGTCACTGCTGGTACAAATGTGAACACTACTGCTGACACAACTACCACCACCACTACGAGACCATTCTCTAACAAGCACCCCTTATCAAATCCTGATTATGGCCCAGAGCTTCGCTACCCACCTCATTTCGCACTTGCCAACGATCGCCATGTACATCAACAAGGCATGGATCATGCGTCATTCACCGCCGCGGGCCACCCTTTGCACCAATCGCACTATCATCATCCCGATTACGAGATACAAATGCAACAACAAGTGCCCGTGCATTATCACCATCCAGCAGGTTACAAATTGCATCAGTCGGCAAATATGGATCTTATGATGATTCCTTCTGGTCCGGTACACCTCGAGCCAGCTAACAATTTCCAAGATTACCTGTATGTAAATCAAGGTTATATCCAGGGGTATGCTAGTGATTATTAGTCTGAAAACAACAAAGTGGGTGTATTATATTTTTTTTCCTATTCAATTCCATATTGACTCCTACATACTCTCTTTTCAGAGTGTGTCGTATTACTTGCATTTTGCTGTTTTTTCTTTACCAATTTGTTTTAGAGTATGTATTTATATAAGACGATGTTATTTATTGAATGTTGATGTAGAGATGATGATCTCCATGTCTTCGTTTGCAATCTCTTCTTTTTTGTGCAATGTGTAATGGGAAGAGGTTAAAAAAAAGCAAACTGACCGTTTTGTTTGATTAAATTAAAAAAATTACATTTGTGACTCTGAAAATATTAAGACATCGACACTCAGACTGTACTGAATCTACCACGAACTACACACACTTAGATACACTTGCAACACTACTAGACAAAAACACAGAATGGACAGCAAAACTATTGGAATCCTAGGAGGTGGCCAGCTTGGTCGTATGATTGTTGAAGCAGCCCATAGACTCAACATCAAGACTGTCATTTTGGATGCCCCTCAATCGCCAGCCAAACAAATCAATGCCCTTGATGAACATGTCGATGGTTCATTTACTGATTATGAGTCGATTGCAAAATTAGCTGAGAAAGTCGACATTCTCACGGTTGAAATTGAACATGTTGATGTTGATGCGTTGAAAAAGATTCAACTGAAATTCCCCAAGATTGAAATTTACCCATTGCCGGAAACTATCAAATTAATTCAGGATAAGTATTTACAGAAGGAACATTTGATCCAGCATGGGATTTCTGTTACTGATTCACAAGCCGTTATTGAAAATACCACTGAGAATCTATTGAAAGTCGGTCAACAATATGGATATCCATTCATGTTAAAGTCAAGAACTTTGGCTTACGATGGAAGAGGTAATTTCGTAGTCAAGGACGAATCATATGTCGAAAAGGCTTTGGAGTTTTTATCCGATCGTCCATTGTACGCCGAGAAGTGGTGTCCATTTGCCAAAGAATTGGCAGTTATGGTTGTCAGATCAATTGAAGGCGAAGTGTTTTCGTATCCTACCGTTGAGACTATCCACCAAAACAATATATGCCATCTTGTTTATGCACCAGCTAGAATCAACGACACTTTGGCCGAAAAGGCATCCATCTTGGCCCAGAATGCCGTTAAATCGTTTCCGGGCTGTGGTATCTTTGGAGTAGAGATGTTTTTATTAGACAATGGCGAGCTATTAATCAATGAAATTGCCCCTAGACCTCACAATTCGGGTCATTACACCATTGACGCTTGTGTTACTTCTCAATTTGAGGCCCATGTTAGAGCAGTGACTGGGTTGCCTATGCCCAAAGGATTCACAGACTTTTCCACCACCATCACTAACGCCATAATGTTGAATGTTTTGGGTGATAAGGAAACACCAAATAAGGAGTTGGAAACCTGTCGTCGTGCATTGGAAACCCCTCATTCGACGGTTTATTTATATGGTAAAACCACTAGACCCGAGCGGAAGATGGGACATATAAATATCGTGACTTCATCGATGGATGATGCTGAAAATAGATTGGCATACATAATGGGCAAGAGTAGTGACATCCCAGCAGCAGCAGGATCATCCAGCGGTGAAAAACAAAAACCTTTAGTTGGAATCATTATGGGTTCAGATTCAGATTTACCAGTGATGGCAGTAGGTGCTCGTATTTTAAAGCAATTTGGAGTTCCATTTGAATTAACCATTGTTAGTGCTCATCGTACCCCTCATAGAATGTCAAAATATGCAATCGAAGCAGCACAGCGTGGGTTGAAATGTATCATTGCTGGTGCTGGCGGTGCTGCTCATTTACCGGGTATGGTTGCCGCCATGACCCCCTTGCCTGTTATTGGTGTCCCGGTAAAGGGCTCGACCTTAGACGGAGTCGATTCCTTGCATTCGATTGTCCAGATGCCAAGAGGTATCCCTGTTGCCACAGTCGCTATAAACAATAGTACCAATGCTGCATTATTAGCCACAAGAATCTTGGGCGCAGTTGATGCTAAATGGTTGAATAAAATGACGAGTTATATGAACAATATGGAGGAGGAAGTGTTGAAGAAAGCCGAAGTTGTGGAGGAGATTGGATATGAAGATTACCTTACTGACAAGTTGAAAAAATAAAAAGACAACATTAGATATTTCTATTTATACATCTTCTGAATTTATTTACATTTCCAGTATATCAACGTCGTTGATGATTTGATTATATCTTTCCCTCTCCGAATTGATCCCGAACCAGCGTGGATCTGAACCGATTTCCCTCAGTTGTGGTAATGGGGAAAGGATGGGGGGATTAGTCTAATAAAACTTGATATTCTATCTCACATCTTGAAGAAACTTCCTTTTGCATTCACACAAACACACACAACTACCCTCTCTAAAACTTTAATGTCTTCTTTTTTGATTTATTCTTGAGTTGTCTTTGCTTGTACCTTTGCGAATTGGAATCTCTCCATCCAGACGTACTCACCTTCTTATTGTGGGTCTTTTCTTCACCATCTTCAGCTGCCTTATCCAAGTCCATAGTCTCTTGGCCATCCTCTTGCTTGTTCTTCTTCTTCTCGGCTTCTTGTTTAGCCGTCTCCTTGGCTAAGCGGTCAGCTATTCTTTTACTTCTTTCATCAACATATTTGGCAAATTCCCCCTTTCTTTTGACTGATTTCGCTTGTAATTTAGATTTCGATCTTAATGATTTAGCCATGGTTAGGGAAGAGTGTAGTGCTGGGTAGTTGTTGTCGTTGGATTGGCTTTAACCTCGCTACTACTATTACAGAATCTGGATCAAGATGGGACGAGATGAGATGAGTATCTCAAACAGGAAGGCGCGTGACATTGATAAACACGCATCACGTGAAATACAAATGATTAGGGCTGTAGACACAAGGGTTGTGTGAGTGAAAAAAATTATTGTCAGTTGAATCCACACAGCAGTACACACACTTACTTTGTTTTTGCACTCTCACTCTCTCAAATCCTCATTTCTCTCAAGTGGGAAGAAAAAAAAAAGAAAAATTTAATTAGGCTTGGAAAAAAGTTCAGACACTCTTACAGTATCAAGATATCAAGCAAAGATGTATGTTTATAACAAAGGGAGACTAAAGTTTGCATGATCGTGATGGAATAATCATTGAGTAGAGAATCAATTAAGAGCACCGCACCGACTGCTTATGGAGAAAGGACCGTTGCAAAATGGGAAAAGATCAGAGACTCCATTGAAAGGAAAAGTTTTAAAGAGGAGGCATCATTAAACAAGCTTAGGCAAACTAGAACAATGACTTGTACACAACTACAGTACCACATAGTTATACGATACGTGATCACCCTCATTCAATGACTAAACTTCACAGATTTGTGCAAACATTTCACCATCGAATCAAATACTAACTCATAATTATAGGGCTAACTTAAGAACTCAAAAGAGACTTGCAGCAAGTGTCGTTGGTGTCGGTAAGAGAAAGATTTGGTTGGACCCAAATGAAACCTCTGAAATTGCCAATGCCAACTCTAGACATGCTATTAGAAAATTGTACAAGAACGGTACCATTGTCAAGAAACCAAACACTGTCCACTCTAAGTCAAGAGCTAGAGCTTTGAAGGAATCCAAGGCTGCTGGTAGACACATGGGTTACGGTAAGAGAAAGGGTACCAAGGATGCCCGTATGCCACAACAAGTTTTGTGGATGAGAAGATTGAGAGTCTTGAGAAGATTATTGGCTAAATACAGAGATGCCGGTAAGATTGACAGACACTTGTACCACAACTTGTACAAGGCTGCCAAGGGTAACACTTTTAAACACAAGAGATCTTTGGTTGAACACATTATCACTGCCAAGGCTGAAGCTTTGCGTGAAAAGGCTCTTAAGGAAGAAGCTGAAGCTAGAAGAGTCAGAAACAGAGCTGCCAGAGAAAGAAGACAACAAAGAATCAATGAAAAGAGAGAAGCTTACTTGGCTGAAGGAACTACCGACGAATAAATGGGTTTGGAGGAGATACCTTGATGCGGTAATGAATAAAGTCTTTGTATGTATATGTACATTATAGTGCAAAGACTTTTCTTTTAGTCTTTGTATTAGTATAATCAAATATAAGGAACAAATCGAGAGTCGATTGGTGTTGGTTTTAATACATAACGTTTATACTTGAAACATTTCCACATTGTAGAGTAAAATTTTACAGGGCAGTTTGTCAACATACAAAAGTTTCTCAATTTCACACCATATAAAATTGCTATTAATATTTAGAAATGAAACTATCCACAACCGCTACTATAAGCGATGGCCAGGAACTAAGCTAAACAAGACTGTCATAGCGGCAGTAAAGATCAAAATTAAAAACAACACCCATAAACTTCTCTTCAAGATGAATTGATAAACGAACTTTTCACGTACTCTAATCAATGACTGTCCATTCTTTTTCGAAAATGTCTCCAGTATTCCAAACCAAGCCATTACTGGATCAATTAAATAGATCGACGACACAATCAAATAAAACGCAAATAAATAGGGCAACACAATCACTGGTCTCAACCCTTTGCGGTAATTCAAAAAGACCAATATGAAACTAACCCAAAAGGCAATGAATAACAAGAAAAATCCGACAACAATTCTTGCGAAATTTGAATGATTGATGTTTCTGGTGGCCATGAAATCGAGAAATTTAGGTAAATGATCATTTTCTAACCTGTTAAACACATAGTGCTTAACATAATTGAACACATCTGGGTCATCACGGCCATCCACTTCAATCAGCTTGATTATATAGGCATTCACTTGTGGAGGCAAGTTTAAATTCTTTTCAGAATCTTCAACGAAATATTTCAATAGCAAATTGTGAGACGACTCTCTTAAATTTTCTCTGTTGATGAAAGACCCGTTCGAAGTGGCAGGAGAATCTCTAATCAACCTCTCCAAAAGCGAAGGATTGACGGTAGACTCACGTCTATTTGAATGGCGATTGTTACTGCCACTGAAATGCCTGGCATAAGGACTCTGAGGCTGAGGATAGTCCTGCTTCAATTTGTCAATGCTGGTATCTGATTTTTTACCTGGGTGTAAGGACACATATTTGGATGGATTGACTGCTTGGTCCGCTTGACCAATGTCCAATTGGTTTTCGTAGGAAGAATCGTTGGAATGAAGGAAATGATCAATGCTATCACCTTCGTCATCATCATCATCATCATGATCCCGATTCAACAACGCCGAGTGTGAACTAACTCTCTTTGCTTCGTGTGGATGGTTTGGTGGATGGAACGACGAGCCAGACATTCTTGAGTTTGACAAAAAGCTGGGCGATGACTTTCCCATCCCACTGCTGTAGCCAGGAGAGTGTTGATTTTGCGCAGATGTACCAACACCTCTATTGGCATTTTCGTTAGCTTCAATCTCGGCGTTATATTGCTCAATAAGGTCTTTTAATTTGGGATCTAGATTATCCAAATTTATATCACCTCTTAAAAAAGCCGACAATCGATGCGAATCATTTTCTTCAAGAATATTATCATTGATAATCAAGTCAAGCAAAATTGATGAACTTAACGACTTGTGTTTTGACTTTTCCGATATTGGGTTTGAGTTTCGGAAAAGAAACGTGCCTCCAGTTGGCGTTGTTGCTGAATTGGGACGAGACGACATGCTATTACGTGTCTGATGATTGGTACCCGATGTCACACTTCTATCATCACGTATTTGCTGCGATTGATGTTGGGAATTTGATTGGAAATGCGACGATTGACGTACAATTGAATCTCTCAAGCCCTTGACATAATGCTTACATAAATTCAAATGATTGATTAGATCAAACCAGAAATCCAAATAATCGACTCTTCCTTCCACATCCTGCATAAATTGGTAAAATGTAAATAAATCAACCGGCGATTTAGATTTGTTAGCTAGAATTTCCCCTAAAGTAGGTAACCGATTAAGGTGTATGTTCTGATTTGTTCCATTAAGGTTGTTTAAATTGGACAAGTAGTTGGAATTGGGGAAATCCAGTGCATACTTTTCGTTATACATGGTAGGGAAATGATATTAAACGACAGGTCCTCTCCCAATAATCAGACGCGCGAAATGTTTTGCGACGAGGAGTAAAATAAGACAAATGTAAGTCTCTGCTTTCGTTGTATCAAGACTATAGCAAATAAAACAAAATTATTGAATGAACGTGATGGTCTGTCTCTTTCTCTCTTCTCTCTTCTCTGTGGTTACAAGGGTGTTGTTCTGTCCACGTTGTACCTAAATGTTTTTTTTTTTTAGAAAAAAGAACCAATTCTGAAACCAGAAGTTTTTCTGTTCTTCTGTTTTGATTTTTTTAAAACATTGATTTTTTTTACATTCTCGTCTAAATCATCTACACATATTACACATACATATATATGTAATCAAGATGAGCCGTTTAATCCACCTTGGAACTTCACTGCTTGTGATTTCAGAGTGCAAAAAAAATGACCAACCACGACTGACTGGGAAGACATTACCAACGTTCAAGAAAAAGAAAAACAATATTGTTATTTGTGATAATAAGTACATACAAGCTACTATTCCTATATATCCTATAACTTATCGGCATAGTCTTCAGCTGATGCAAATAATGGCAAATCTTTAATCCTTGGCCTTTTCGACCTTTTCTTTGACGTAGAAGAATCAGCATCCTTCTCACTCTTACGTTTCTTACTTTGCTTCTCTTTCTCTTGTACTGCCTCTTTATCATTGTCGCTATCACTTCCACTCAAGTCGATATCCTCCAACATCTTGATATCATCTTCCGAGTCTGACAACTCATCGTCACCATTGACGTTGAACATTTTTGCTTCGTCTTCGTCAAACTCGTCATCGAAATCTTCTTCTGCCTCGTCATCAATAAATTTATTAAATGCGCCATCAGATTCGTCATCTTCATCAACATTGTTACCTGCTGAAAGTTGTCTGTCAAACTCATTAATTTCTCCATCACCAAAATCATCTTCAAGATCACCGTCTTCTTGCAGAAGCTCTGCTTCTTCTTCTTCATCGTCATCATCCAAGTCGGAAAAATCTTCTGGATCAAGATCAGACATTTCATCACCCGATGAGGCTTCAACGTCGGGCCTGGAATTTACCAATGCTTTCCAAACTTCGTCGTCGTCAATGTCATTTTCATCCATATCCTCCTCATCATCGCCACCATCATCTTTACCTTCATTCTCTTCCTCTTTTTTCTTTCTCAATTTGTTCACTTTAGTGGTGAAATATTGATGGAAAAAACGCTCATCGGCTTTGATATCACCGACCTTTTTGTTCAACCAGTTTTCAGTATTAGCTGGCATAGAATTATCCAACACATTGGTTGATCTCACCAACAACTCTCCCGTATGCGCTCCACCCAAAGGTTGCATGATTGAAGATCCCTTTGTCTGTGGTTTTTGCTTGGCATTTTTGTACACAAATCGATCCAAGAAATGAGCCAAGGTATATAATCCTAAATCTGGTTTGGTCTGGGGAGTTCCATCAATAAAAGAGGATGCGTAAAGTGACACTGTTGGATGGAAATGGTTGACAAATAAGTCAATTTCCCATAGTGATGATTTGTCGGCATTGGCATAATTTGGATCACGTTTCTTTGGGTCGTAAACACTTTCTTGTTTGACGGAGATTGAATCAGTTCTATTTGATGAGCCCTCCACATCTGCCAGTACTTCCTTGTTTGCTTCATCGCCTTTCTCTTCGTCAGGTCTTGAGTTGACATCGATCAACAAATCGCCGATTTCAGGCATCGATTTAGACAATTCCATAAGCAAGTACAACATACCGGCAATAGCTCCCACATTCAACCAATGAGCTATAACTTGCATTATCCTCTTGACAAAAGCCAAGACTCGTTGAATGTTGGCAGAGTCGTTTTTCAACGACTTGTACAACAAGTTCAAATATATACCTTGTTTTGAAGTAGTCACCAACCTTGAGTCTAGTAATGACTCATATAATGTTCTGTAATATCTATCAGAATTCAACTCCTGCTTGGAAATTATGTGGTTTATTAAAACCAAGGCTTGTATTGCGGTGTTGAAATTACTACTGTGGGTAATCTTAAATAAGGTGTCCAAATGATTTTGAAATACTTCATTAGGCAAGTTGCAGAAAGGGAAAGCACGATTTAATCCGGTCAACAAGGCCGAAAACATCTTTGAATTTTTTTCTTCTACAATCTCTTGCTGTGACTTCTCCTCATGCTTAACAGACCTGCCCCCCTTTTTACCCTTTTTGAAATTCTTTCGATTATTCTTCCGTCCCTTTTGGGGTTCTCCAATCAACTTGTCTTTCTCAGCATCATTCGCAGCTTTCGGAAATGAATTACTTTCGATCAAAACTTTTTCGAATAATGCAAAATAAGTCTTGACTAAAGAGTTTGCCAATTCTTCTTCTCTTCTAGTAATGATTGTTTGATTAAGTGTAGTGACACCATAGTATTTGGAATGATCATCGGTGGTGCTTTGAAAGATAACATCAATAACCGCATCAGTGACAATTTTCTTCATAGCTGGGTGGGTTTGCTCCAACTGCAAAATCAAATACGAAGCTTTTGCCGATACTTTGTTGTCAGTGTCACCCAACTTGTTTACACCCAATTTCAACAAATTGACTTCTTGCTCGGGCTTTGACTTCAACAAGTCAAACACATGGTTTAAGGCATTCATTCGAACATGAACAATTGGATCCTGTAAAAGCCTTTCCAAAATTTGAAGTAATTTAAAGTACGTCATTTTCAAATGATCCTCAAAGCAGAAGACAGCCAACTGAGCGTCAGTCATCAAAGACTCGTCTTTAGATAAAGGTTGTTTATCAAAGGCAAACAATTTACGGTCGGGTAACAATCCATTGAGCAAAAGATCTTTCAATGCAGCTATTGATTGTAATGCAGCAGTTCTTGATTTTTTATCACAATATGATAAAAGTGTATCAAGAGCCTTTATGTTATGTAGTGGAGCTTCCTGCACCAACAAAGTTAAGGCGGAGATTTTATCGTTCAAGGTACCATCAGACAAGATTTGTGACAAGAACTTTTTTTGTGAAGAGTTGGAAGCAAATTCTTCCAAGTATACTTTGTTATCCTTTTCTAATACCTTTTGTCCGCGCTCGAGTAATCTTTCACGAGCAAAACGGTCTAGTTTAGGCAAAGCTTCGGAATTGGTGAGGGGGTAGATATTATACCAATCTAATCTATTAGGAATGGCAAGCTTTCCACTTGACACCATTGAAAAATCGGTAATTTCATCTGAATTTTGTCCGTTCTTTGCCTCTTTTGTGTTTTTCGTTTTCTTGAGCTCAGCTTGTTTGACAACCACTTGATCATCACCATTGCTTGTAGGGTTGACAATGTCATCATGAACTAACTTGGGGACTTCTTCTTCTTCTTCTTCTTCTTCTTCTTCCTCTTCCTCTTCCTCTTCGTCTTCATCAGAGCTTGGCGTGCCCTCATTTTCTTCATTCAAAGATGCGTCCTCATCTGCCTCAATGATGTCATCCCCATCTGCCTCATCAACACTCTCATCATCAATGACAACAGGCTCTCCATTCCCTAAACCAATATCTTTTATGAATTTACTCAAATCATTTCCAAACTCCTTGTCCAACTTGGAATCATCATTAAACTCAATCTCACTGTTTTCATCGTCACTTTCAATATCTCGTAATAACTTTATATCTTCTTCTGTTGCACCTAGAGCCAATGCCTCTTGACGTAATAATTCGTCTGAGCTAGTCAGCTTCTTGATTTCTTCAG